TATTTACTCATGGGGCATGCTTACATTATGTTTAAGGTATTCAATGTACCGGTATATGTACATGTACAAATCTGTAAATCATAAGTCTCTGAAAAGTTGTATATGTCTTTAAAGTAGTGATATAGTTCTGTAAACACCATAGAGTTATGACCCATGTAAGTTTAGGCCCAGTGCATTAGTTGAAAGACAACGAGGTACCGCATAGGTGAGACAGAACCCGAATGAAAGTGTGTTTGAGTAATACAAAATAACCCTTCAACGCGGGAAGAGGCCAATTCATGTAACTAATTTGAAAATGTTTAATCTTGATTATCCTATGATACTAGATGGCCCCCCAAGAGTCGTGATTTTTTTACTCAAAAAGCTTCATAAAACTTTTGTAGAGGTCAACATGCCAAATATATCAGCTCTGGGCATTGTAATTTTCCACAAAATGATTAGGGTGCGTCTAAATACAAATGTATACATTAGTTTTCTAAACAAGTGACCCCCTGGACAGAACAAATTTTGACCTTGGAGTCATGATTAATATAACTTTTGTAGAAGCCTACAAGAAATTGAAGCTACATGCCTACTTCTAATCTCTGGGCTTTGTAGTTTAAGTGTAGAAAATATACATGTATTTATCATATAAGCCTACATATACGAAGTGACCACAAGGGTTGGGGCAATTTCTACCGAAGAGTCGTAATTTATACAATTTTTTTAGATGTCCATAAAGCAATGCTACATGCCACATATCTAAACCCTGGGTAATGTAGTTTTACACAAGAAGAGTTAAATGTGATTTTCTTAATTAGACTACATTTACTTACTGAAATGTTTTCCTATATAAGTCTATACATGTACACATCAAGTAACCCCACCCCAGGATGGGGCAAATATTGACTTAATGGGCATGAATATTATCACTTTTGTGATAGGGCGGTGCCAACTATGATCTGAGGAAACTAAAACTTGTGTTCTACACATCGTCTCATTACAAGTAACATTTTGGCCAAAAAAGTTTTAATTGACTTCAATTGATTCAGAAAAGGGACAGATTTTCTTTAATCCATAGGGAGGTCAACCTGTGCTTTGCATTATGGTTTTACAATTTTGTCAAGAAGTTTTAATTTCGTTCCATTGGTTCAAAAGATACAAATTGCCAACAGTTGGCTGGAAAATCAAAATTTGAACAAGCGGCCTTTGTTTCTCTGTTTATTAGAAGGCCATTGGCCCCTTATTCTATTGTTATAGTATGAATTCCATTGTTCTCTTTTCTTCTGTTTACAGTCAGATGGCCCCCTATGTTCTGCAGTGTAGACGGACAACTAGATGCATAAAAATATACGCTGAAATTTTTCGGTAGTATAAAAAATAGCACCAAAATTTAAAGCAAGTGTTCCACGAATGCCAACATTAGATTGAGCAGAATAGCCCCACTATTCTGTGAAGAGTTAAGCTAAAAATAAAAGAAATTCAGTTATTTTTTTCTTTTTATTTAAATAAACATATTGTGTATACATTTGTATGTAAAAATATATTTTTAAAAGGTATAGATAAAATATAAAATATACACCTTGTGAAAGACAATATAAAACTGTGAAAGACAATAAATGTTAAAATATTACCACAAGAGAAAAACAGTAATGTGGCAGAAGATAAACAATATTATTTTATATATAAGTATACAAGACAATTTCAGATTATTAACTTCATAAAACAGAACAAGAGGGCCATGATGGCCCTGAAATCACTCACCTGTATATGGGCACCCGGGAAGGGGCCAGTTTCAACCCAAGGGCTTTTATTTGAACAAACTTGGTAGACATCCATTAGAAGATTTTTTAAGTTTTTACTATACACATATCGGGGAAAAACAATGACTCCCACCCCGGGCAGCAGGGCCAATTTTGACCCCAGGGCTTTTATTTGAACAAACTTGGTAGACAATCACGAGAAGATATTTCATGCTAAGTATCTAAACTCTAGCTCTTTGGGGTTTTTTTTAATTTTTACTATATGCATATGAGGAAAATCAATGACCCCCGGGGCGGGGCATATTTTGACCCCAGGACTTGAAAGACCCCCATTAGAAGATGTTTCATGCTTAATATCTTAGCTCTAGCTCTTTGGGATTTTTAAAAGAAAAGATTTTTTAAGTTTTTACTATATACATATAAGGAATATCAATGACCCCCCCCCCCTCCTCCTACCGGGGCAGAGCCACCTTTGACCCAAGGGATTTTATTTGAACAAACTTGGTAGACACTGACTAGACGATGTTTCATGCAAAATATCTAAGCTTCAGCTCTTTTTGTTTTTTAAAAGAAGACTTTTATTTTTTTCTTTTGGTTGCCATGGCAACCAGAGTTCTGCAGGGAATTAAATTCATTGAATAATTTTTAAAGTTGACCCCTAAAGGAACATTCCTTTGAAGTTTGGATGTCGTTTAAAGTAAAAGTTTATGGACAGACGGTGGACAGGTGCCGGACGGAAAGCATTCACAAAAGCTCACCATGTCACTTTGTGACAGGTGAGCTAAAAACCTTAACACAAAAACCAGAATGAGTGAAAAGAACAAAAAAGTGGCATTTATCAACAGGAGGTCTCTCAAGATAGGTATGATCAAAATGTGAAACTGATCTGATTAGCTTTATCACATAAATAAATAATACAAACAACACCAGTCCTGTTCTTTCTTAGAGTGTGGACAAGAGTGTGGTTGGGGCGTCCATGGCCGAATGGTAAAGGTCGTTGACTTCAAACCACTTGCCCGTCACCGCTGTGGGTTCAAGTCCCGACAGGGACAATGATTTCTTTCATGTGAGGAAGCTATCCAGCTAGCTTACGGAACGTCGGTGGTTCTACTCAGGTGCCCCTTCATGCCTGATAAAAATGCACAGAAGGGCACCCGAGGTCTTCCTCCACCAGAAAAGCTGGAACGTCGCCATATGACCGGTGTGACGTAAAACCAAAAGCAAACAAACAAAAGAGAGTGGTTTAAATAACATACAAGCTCTTATAATAATCTTAAGTAAATATGGTTTAACTTAACTAACATAATGCCTCTGAAGAGAGGTTGATCATAATACGAAACTTTCTTTATAGGAAGCTTTAAATTAATATATTCAGCTATTTTGCAAAAAAAATCAGCAGTAGAATGTACATGCAATACATGTATTAGATAAATCTATAAATGTTTATTAGTGTTCGCCAATTTTTTTAAGCCAATCACCGACGAGGATTTTTCAAATTTTCAGGTTTCAAAGCTTAATAGAACAGATTTTATATAAACTGGACGTTTTATATTATAAAACGCAAGTGGGCGGAGCTAAGTTTCGAAGAGCGCTAAAGTGAAATGTACGCATGTGCAGAGATCTTTAAGTTTACTCCTACTTATCAATATTTATGCATCATTTTTTTTCCGTACACGCACATGTATATCGTCACTACGGCATAGAATTAAAAAAAAAAGAGGTTCATTGAAATGAAAACAGGCAAAATAACAGTACAAATGTTTTATTACTTACGGAACCAGTATCATTTTATAATTTCCAAATAAAAAGTTCACTTATTCCAACAAAGTATGTAGGCCTATGTAATATTTCTTACTTTAAAATGTAAATATTACAGCCCGTGCAGCTGCAAAACCGAAAGTAGGGTGTTTTTATTAATTTTACAATATACTGCCATTTGTCCGAAGATGATATGTATATGAACATAATAAATATGCATGATGCATATATAATCAATACAGTCGGTTATAAAAGCTCCTAGAGCTTATGTTGTATTGTTGAAAACTTGCCGACTTGAAATAAAACTTATCTTATCTTATCTTATCTTAATCAAGCTACAGGTTCATTTCAGCCCGAAAAATATGTCGAGGTGACGGGCGAGGCAAGACATGTCGACTTTTTGTAGCTTATTGTGAATTTGCAGTACATGAAAATCGGGCACATGACAAATCAGCACATTAATAAAACATTCTAGTGTTCCGTGGTATACATCTTTTCTATGTGTCATACCTCCTTTCCTTATTACAATGAATTTTTACTGCATTGTTATCCATCGCTGGTTTGTTTTTAGCAGAGAATGACCTGTGTATGTTCAAAGAGGGTACCGTTTGAGAATATTTCGCAAAGAGGGTACCGATATGGATATGCACCGTGATATTGCCTGATATAGACAGAATGCGGGAATAAGCTATGCAAAACACGTGACCCGAAAATGTGTACCGCTACCTCTTCCAAATATGGTTATACACATTTAGGCTATCGTGTGACGTCACGCAGTGTGTTGGGCGGGAAAAAATGGGCGGAGCACTAAGCCGGTTAGAGTGCATATTGGATGTTCTTCGTAAATAAGAAAGCTACAGTCGCTTCGCAAGCTCCGCTCCTTTTTAGCTTTCTTATTTACGAAGAACACCCAATATGCACTCTAACCTATACATAGGATATATTCATGAGGTAAATTTGAACAGTGGGACTTTAAAATCCAAACCCTTCTTATTCACAAAACCTTTCTAACCAAACAAAGTTTCTGGTCCAAATAACATTTACTCTATTATTTATAAAAAAAACACTGTTGTACAATCAAGAACAGTAATATGAATTGTGGTTAATTTATTTATATCATTATCTTTTTTAAACAATTAAATAAACAACTCCCAGATCATATGTTTCCAAGTTTTCACAACCCCTTATATTTCAATTCAAATTGTTTACAGGTGTAATCAAAACAAAACAACAAGAATGAAGACATGGGATAGGTGTAAAGTTAACAATTGGAACATTTCTTATTTGAATTTTTTTATGGTCATAATATGTGATTACTGAATTTTTACAATCTATCATATTTCATACAAAGTTTTAGTTAAAACTAAAATCAAATGATAATGAGCTATTGTATAGTACTCAATAAACCATGCTTGATGACACATTACACTAATGCATGCATGAATAAATCCATTTTACATAATTGTACTATTATGCATGCTTATAATGCTTATAATGCATGCTTAATAAATCCATTTCACTGCTTAGATCTGAGAATTTATCAAAACTGCTAAATTGTCTTGTCTTCAAGAAGTCCCTTGACGCTCTGAGGTAATATGGTTTTAGCCCCTGGCCGTGGTTTCTCTGTTATCCTGAACACAAACCCCTGTGATCCCTCCAGTATGTCCCTCTCATGATTCCAGCTAAACAAGGCTCCATCTGTTGTTTCAAGAAACGGGTTCACCTCAATTACCCATAATTTTGCACCTGGAAAAATAACAGTATAAAAAATATCTTTTCTAGATTAACACTGTCATCATATCTATGTGCCAATGTGCATGTTAGATCCTGAAACTCAATATTTTTATGGTTTTATGTCATGAATATAATGCTCAAATGAAGATTTATCAATATTTTAAGTTCCAAAAACCATTATTTGTAAAGATATTACCGAATCTAGATTTCATAGTAATTAAGGGAGGTAATTAGAAAGTCATTTTCCTTTAAAGTCTAAGTCAATTTTTTTCAATAAGAAATGAATGCTTTGTAAGAATACATATGGTGTGGACAAATATTTGCAGTACATATTTTACATTTTCTTCCATGTTGATGCATAATTATATACATATATAAAGTTTCACCCAAGTGTGGTTATAAACTTAACTAGAACTATCGCTGAATGCGATTCATACCCCCACCAATGTCCTTGACAGAAGACGACTTGGAAAGGTGGTTAAGAGAATAACTTTAGTGGCACAAATACATATACATAAAAGTAAATTATCTCTGGTGAATGTACAGGTATTAGTATAAATCATGTTCGAAACAGTTACAAATAACCTTTCATTTTTCCAATGTACTAGACATATTCTAAGTCAATTTTTGACCTTCAAGTGTGGCCTTGACCTTAAGCTGGCACAAGGGTAAGATGGGTTCTGCACATTTTCCAGTTGGGGTGAACATTTGAGTAAAGTTTGAAGAAAATCCTTCCATTAGTATAGAATTTATAGAGCGGACACGACATATTGTCTAGTATTGATTGTATGTAAATTTAAAGACTTAAAAAGAGGCATTACTTTGTCAAAATGCAATACAGAGTTATGAAACTTGACCTGTGACACTTCATATATATTTAAGTTTTCAAGCAAATACCTTTTCTAGTTTCAGAAATATTCAAATACATGTTAAAACTTTAAGAACATTTTCTAAGTTTAATTTTGACCTTCAAGTGTGACCTTGACCTTAAGCCCGGCAAAAGGGTAACATGGGTTCTGCACATAACCTTGTTTTGAGGTGAACATTTGAGCCAAGATTAAAGAAAATCTTTCAATTAGTGTAGGACTTACAGAGCCGGACACAACATACTGTCTAAATATTTCATTGTTGATATTTGACCTTCAATTGTGACCCTTGACCTTGGAGCTGACACATGGGCAACATGGGTTCTGCATATCCCCTTGTTGAGGTGAACATTTGAGCCAAGTTTGAAGAAAATCTTTCAATTAGTGTAGGAGTTACAGAGCGGACACGACATACTGTCTAATATTTCATTGTTTGATATTTGACCTTCAAGTGTGACCTTGACCTTGAGCTGACACATTGGCAACATGGGTTCTGCACATCCCCTTGCTGAGGTGAATATTTGAGCCAAGTTTGAAGAAATCCTTCAATTGGTATATTGATTTTATAGAGCGACTACCGAAAATGGAGACGGAACGGACGAACGCGACAAAGTCGAATCCCATTATACCCCCCCCCCCCCATTTTGTGGTGGGGTTATAATTACAACATACAGGATCTTTAATTAACTTCAATTAACAGTTAATGCTTTGAGATTAACATTTTAAAGAAGCTCCACTGATTTCACAAAGCCCAAAAGCAAGAAATTTGAACTTATTACAAAGATGAAGTGAAGCACTTGAATGGGAATATCTGTGATTCTTTCCTGTGATTCTTATCCTAATTTGAGTGAAAAGCATTGCTACACTTTTCATATTTGGGTCATATTGCACAATTAAACTGCTTATTCTTGAGTGAGGTAATGATCTAAAATTTACACACAAGTTTTTGGACAAGACCTTCAGCAAATGGTACTCAAAACTAGTTTAATAAATATTTTCAGTCTGGTCACATCTAAAAAGTCAGTAAAGTCCCTTTAAGCTTCAATAGGATATGGACCGCAAAGATGTAAAATTCATATTGTGAATATTCTTGTGAACATATCAAATTTGTAACACACAGATGCAAATGCATCTGAAGAAATCCCAATTTACACGAGTCCCAACTCTTTACTGCCAGTTTATAGGCAAATTAGCACAATACACCATTTATCTAAAGAATTGATTCTCAAATGCCAATGTCAGAGGTTAAATTAATAGCAATGGAAGGTGCAGTGTACGAAATTCGGATTTGAATCCAATAGGCTTGTCGAGCTACCACATTAGAATATTCCCTAGCCCAAAAGATATTTCACTATTATGATTCATTCGTTCCAAACATTTGTTTATATTGCCTTTGAAAATATGGTAGCTCGGTTGGGCTTGTTTCTGCGAAATATTGGTAGCCCAAGGAGAAATGTGTAAGTCACAGGCTATCGGACTACTGCTTATTTCGAACCCTGAAGATGTACACTCATACCTAACCAAGTTGTTATCAATAAATACAATTTAGAAATAAGGAAAAATCAATGAATCCAATTTAACTACCTTGATCACATATTGCAAAATCAACAATGGAATCTTTCGGAAACTTTGAATCCTTCAGCTTTGGTCGTACAGCTGTGTTAAAATACTCTTTCACCATGTGTCCATATTTCTCTTTCTCTTTAACCAATCTGTCTGAGCAAATGGCATAATTATACTGTGATAGTGCGACTAATTCGTAGTTTGAGACAAACCCACGAAATTCCATATCAACATCAATATCCACAAATTTTCTAATAACGAAATGTTCGTTATAGTTATCTTTTTGGTTGACTGCTGCTAAAAGTAGGTCCTGATATATCCGTTCACTTCGCATAAACATATCTAGTACTTCATCGGCAGTTTTCACTCTTAGCGCTATAAAGGCAGCCTTCAATAGACAAGTTATTTGAATGTTTTCTGATCGTTCCTCAGCTGGAAAAGTTGACAGTTCATTCTTGTACAAATCTTTCAGATGGTTCTGAACGAGAGGTGCATCTTTCGCACTACGACTTGAGGTTTTTACAAAAGCATAACCGTCCTTGGTGAATGTATCCATTGACAACTGAAGACGGGAAACTAGGGTATCAAGAAGTATTGTTTCACTATCAGTTAGATTGTCTTTCCAGTCTGTCTTACAAATATGATCACTATCCTTGTTAACATACAGTCTGAAAATTTACACACACAAAAATAAAAATAAGTTAAACTTTCAAACTTATCCCTGTTGGTATGTTGGTAAAACCCAACCAGTTGTGTTTTTAAAAGACAATTTTAAAGATCCTGTAATTAAAATCTTTTTATGGTTTTATATCAAATATAATGCTCAAATGAAGATTTATCAATATTGTAAGTTCCAAAAAGCATTATTTGTAAAAATATTACTTAATTTACATTTCATGTAAATAAAGGGAGGTAATTAGAAATTTATTTTCTATAAAGTCTCAGTCAAATTTTTCAATAAGAAATGAAGGTGTATATTTTAATGATTAACAAGATATGTTTGTAAAACATGTATGCCCCCTATCAGCAGCCAATTAGTCATGTGAAAAGGTTATTATGCATGACTTCTGACCCAGTGATCAAACAATTAATAAGGGTTATCAAGTATCTACTGGTCATGACCTTAACCTTTGACCCCTTGACCTAAAACTCAATAGGGGTCATCTGCTGGTCACGACGCAATCATCATACAAAGTTTGAAGTTCCTAGGCCTAAGCGTTTTTACTTAATTGATCGGAAACCGTTTTAACATACAAGGTCAATGTGACCTTGACCTTTGACCCCTTGACCCGCAAAATCAATAGGTCATCTGCTGGTCATGACCAATCACCATACCATATGTTTGAAAGTTCCTAGGCCCAAAGGGTTCTTTAAGTTGTTTGAATTGAAAGCATTTTTACGCCTACATGGTCAATGTGACCTTGCCCTTTGACCCCTAACCCCAATATCAATAGGGGTCATCTACTGGTCATGAACCAATCACCATACCAAAGTTTGAAGTTCCTAGGCTAAGGGTTCTTTAGTTATTGATCGGAAACGCGTTTTTTACCTAAGAGGTCAATGTGACCTTGAACCTTTGGACCCCTTTACCCAAAATCAATAGGGGTCATCTGCTGGCATGACCAATCACCCATCACAAGTTTGAAGTTCTAGGCCTAAGGGTTCTTTTCGTTTATTGATCAGAAATCGTTTTTACCTACAAGGTCAATGTGACCTTGACCTTTGACGCCCTTAAGACCCAAAATCAATAGGGGTCATCTGCTGGTCATGACCAATCACCATACCAAGTTTGAAGTTCCTAGGCCTAAGGGTTCTTTTTGTTAATGATCAAGAAACCGTTTTTTAACCCAAGAGGTCAATGTGACTTGACATTTGACCCCTGACGCCCAAAATCAATAAGGGTCAAATCTACTGATCATAGACCAACTTCACCATACCAAGTTTGAAGTTCCTAGGCCTTAAAAGTTCTTTAGTTATTGATTGGAAACCGTTTTTTTTGCTTACAAGGTCAATGTGACCTTGACCTTTGACCCCGCTTGACCCAAAAATCAATAGGGGTCATCTACTGATCATGACCAATCACCATACCAAGTTTCAAGTTCCTAGGCCTTAAGGTTCTTTAGTTATTGATCGGAAACTGTTTTTGCTTACAAGGTCAATGTGACCTTGACCTTTAACCCTTTGACCCCAAAATCAATAGGGGTCATCTACTAGTCATGACCAATCAGCATACCAAGTTTGAAGTTCCTAGGCCTTAAGGTTCTTTAGTTATTGATCGGAAACCGTTTTTGCTTACAAGGTCAATGTGAACCTTGACCTTTGACCCCTTGACCCCAAAATCAATAGGGGTCATCTACTGGTCATCGACCAATCACCATACCAAGTTTGAAGTTCCTAGGCCTAAGGGTTCTTTAGTTATCACTCGGAAACCATTTGGTCTATGGACCGACGGACCAACGGACCGACGGACCGACAAGTACAAAGCAATATACCCCCTTTTCTTCGAAATGGGGGCATAAATATAATGCAATTAAACATTTGCAGTATATATTTTACATACTCTTGGATGTTTGAAAATTGTTTTGGAAGAACTAGAACTGCCACTATCATGGCGTGAATACCCCCGCATACCACTTTGTCAGAATCAACAGTGGCCATTTAGAGCTCAAGGACAACCTCCCTGCCAAATCTGAGGTTACTAAGCCAGTGCATTGCTAAGTTATGTATTCTACATGCTTCAAATGTGAAAATGTCAAAATAAATACATTGCGGACCAGGAACATTCTTTAGCAATTGAGAAGAAAAGCTTTTTTTGTCAAGGTCCCTGTGACCTTGACCTTTGACCCAGTGACTTCAAAATCAATTAGGGGTCACCTTATAGTCATGATCAAACATCCATCACCAAATATGAAGACTGTGGGTCAAAGGAATCTTAAGTTAATGGGTGACAAACTTTTTTGAAGTCAAAGTCCCTATGACCTTGACCTTTGATCCAGTGACCTCAAAATCAAAAGGGGTCATCTACTAATCATGATCAAATCCATGTCAAATATGAAGACTGTGTGGGTCAAAGGAATCTAAAGTTATTGGGCAGACAAAGTTTTTGAAGTCAAAGTCCTGTGACGCTTGACCTTTGACCTGGTGACCTCAAAATCAATAGGGGTCATCTACTTATCATGACTAAGCCTCCATGCCAAAATATGACGACTGTAGGTCAAAGGAATCTTAAGTTATTGGGCGGACAAGCTTTTTTTGAAGTCAAGGCCCCTGTGACGCTGACCTTTGACCTGGTGACCTCAAAAATCAATAGGGGTCATCTACTAATCATGACTAACCTCCATGCCAAATATGAAGACTAAGGGTCAAAGGAATCTTAAGTTATTTGGGCGGACAAGCTTTTTGAAGTCAAGGCCCCTGTGACCTTGACCTTTGAACCTAGTGACCTCAAAATCAATAGGGGTCATCTACTTATCATGACTAAAACTCCATGCCAAATATGAAGACTAAGGGTCAAAGGAATCTTAAGTTATTGGGCGGACAAGCTTTTTGAAGTCAAGGCCCCTGTGACCTTGCCCTTTGACCTAGTGACCTCAAAATCAAATAGGGGTCATCTACTAATCATGACTAACCTCCATGCCAAATATGAAGACTAAGGGTCAAAGGAATCTTAAGTTATTGGGCGGACAAGCTTTTTGAAGTCAAGGCCCCTGTGACCTTGACCTTTGACCTAGTGACCTCAAAATCAATAGGGGTCATCTACTAATCATGACTAACCTCCATGCCAAATATGAAGACTAAGGGTCAAAGGAATCTTAAGTTATTGGGCGGACAAGAAAAAACCGACGGCCGGACGGACGGACGGCCGGACGGACAGCCGGACGGACGGACAAGCTGATTCCAGTATACCCCCCTTACAACTTTGTTGTGCGGGGGTATAATTATCATATTCATATATATATATAGAATTTTACTTAAATGTGGTTACATCCTTAAATGTAAAACATACAGGATCTTTCATGTTATACATGTTTAGAGATTTTCATGCATTATTTCAGGCACAAGTAACTTATGATCTGAGTAAAACCACTGACCTTCAGTCAGCCAGCTAAATAACTTCTTAAGATTGAAAAATTTAATGCCCTATGCTACATTTGGACCTACAATGGTTAGGGAGCTGGTAATTCATAAGTCAACCAGACTTTAAGCACTCAGCTAAGAAAGTTCCTAAAACAAATAATTGAATGTTTAAGAAAATACATCTCGATAAACCCTAGCCTACTGCTATCCATGCAGTCTGGTCATGGTCTGCAGTCAGTATTTATTTTGAAATTTTCCCAGAATATTGTATATGGTTGTGACCAGATTGAAAGATGGACAAGTCCAGTAAAGTAATTAAGCATGGTAAGGGACAAAACATCTGGGATATGTTAAGCAAAGATACACAATCTTCTAGAAATATTGTGAAACACGGTATCATTCTTGATAATTTCTTATTATTAACATAATTATGATATTTTTGATAAAAATACAATACAATCGTTAAGGTGTAAAATCTAATATCTAAAGAGTAAAGTAAACAAGTTTGGTTCTCACCTTTCATAGATGCTTATAAACAATTGGGCTTCTTCAAGCAGGAATGGACAGAGTACTGTTGGGAATGTTTCATCTCTAAGAAGATCAATCCACTGTTCTGTATTCACCTCCAACACACATCTTTCATACTCTGTAAGTACATGTATCATCATTATATTAAATATCATCATAATGTTAAATATCATTATTTTGTTAAATATCATCATAACATTAAATATCATCATTACATAAAATATCATCATTACATTAAATATCATTATAACATTAAATATCATCATAACATTAAATATCATCATAACATTAAATATCACCATAACATCAAATATCATTATTTTGTTAAATATCATCATAACATTAAATATCATCATTACATTGAATATCACCATAACATCAAATATCATTATTTTGTTAAATATCATCATAACATTAAATATCATCATTACATAAAATATAATTATTTTGTTAAATATCATCATAACATTAAATATCATCATTACATTAAATATCACCATAACATCAAATATCATTATTTTGTTAAATATCATCATAACATTAAATATCATCATTACATAAAATATCATTATTTTGTTAAATATCATCATAACATTAAATATCATCATTACATTAAATATCACCATAACATCAAATATCATTATTTTGTTAAATATCATCATAACATTAAATATCATCATTACATAAAATATCATTATTTTGTTAAATATCATCATAACATTAAATATCATCATTACATTAAATATCATCATAACATTAAATATCATCATAATGTTAAATATCATCATAACATTAAATATCATCATTACATTAAATATTATCATAACATTAATTATCATCATAATGTTAAATATCATTATAACATTAAATATCATCATAACATTAATTATCATCATAATGTTAAATATCATTATAACATTAAATATCATCATTACATTAAATATCACCATAACATCAAATATCATTATTTTGTTAAATATCATCATAACATTAAATATCACCATAACATTAAATATCATTATTTTGTTAAATATCATCATAACATTAAATATCACCATGACATCAAATATCATCATAACATGAAATATCATTATTTTGTTAAATATCATCATAACATTAAATATCACCATAACATTAAATATCATTATTTTGTTAAATATCATCATAACATTAAATATCACCATAACATTAAATATCATTATTTTGTTAAATATCATCATAACATTAAATATCACCATAACATCAAATATCATCATTACATTAAATATCACCATAACATCAAATATCATCATTACATTAAATATCACCATAACATCAAATATCATCATTACATTAAATATCACCATAACATTAAATATCATCATTACATTAAATATCACCATAACATTAAATATCATTACTTTGTTAAATATCATCATAATATTAAATATCATCATTACATTAAATATCATCATTACATTAAATATCATCATTACATAAAATCTCATTATTTTGTTAAATATCATTATTTTGTTAAATATCATTATTTTGTTAAATATCATTATTTTGTTAAACATCATTATTTTGTTAAATATTATTAGTTTGTTTGTTTGTTTTTTTTTTTTTTTGGTTTTATGTCACATCGACACAGTATAGGTCATATCGCGACGTTCCAGCTTTACTGGTGGAGGAAGACCTCTAAATACTATTATTTTGTTAAATATCATCAAAATAAGTTAAATATCATAATAAGGTTAAATATCATAATAAGGTTAAATATTATCATACGGTTAAATATCATCATCATGTTAAATATCATCATAAAGTTAAATATCATCACAATGTTTAATTACTTAAATATAGTCACTTCATAGGTTAAACAGGCCTTGACAATTCCACTCGTCCCCTGGCCTTTGCAAGTAAAAGTACGAGTCCACAAGTAAATCAAAGGGCTGCAAGCTCAGTGGTATTTTCTGATCCGTACTGTATATCTGTATGTGTTTTCCTGTATAAGTTTATTTTTATGTACTATAAGTCATCTTGCAGGGCACCAGAGTTTGATACATACGGAATTTTGCATAACTAGAGTTGCATCAAAAAAAAAATTATGTTAATTTTTTATGATAGCCACACTTTATCCTTGCATATCGTGGCTATATCCTTAACAAAGACACTAAAAAAAGAATTAAAAAAACGTTGACTCGACTGGGATTTGAACTCCATACCTCTCACACACCAAACGAGCGCGTTACCCCTGCACCACGGAGAAGTTTTAAAATCAAAAGCTGAATAAAATCAAGTAATTCTAAATTTAGAATTTCCATTGCATTTCGGGTAAGGGTAATTTCGAGGTATTTTGTTCAGGGTAAACCTGTTGTTTAAAATTGAAGTAAATAATTTAGCAAAAATCTTCTCGCCCAAACAGTCCAACATGTAGAAACTATATATTCAACTACTCGGCAGTCAGATTTATTTGTGTAGTATTCGGTAATCGACACCGCTAAAAATAGCATTTTCATTGATTAAAATCATATTCATCCGCGTAATTTGTGAGTGTGCGTTTATTGACAACTCTATAAGCCAACGCTACTTTAAAAGTTTGAAGGTGTAGTAATTTGTTGGACACTTGTAACAAAAAATTGTTCTTTCTTTTAAATTGCTGGTTTTTAAGCAGTTTTGAGTGAGAACTAATTTGCGTTGTTAGGACTGTTAGGAAATTTTGTGTTAGACCGTGGATGTTAGCTATGTATTATCTGATCTGCGATCAGAAAATACAAAAATTGATCAAAGTACGAATATCCAGATCCAAATGACGTTTCTCTAAATATTTAATATAAATATTTAATATAAATGAAGTAATTCGTTAAAAAAAATCAAACAGCAGATGCTTTTTCAATAGTCTTTATAACAACCCAAAACCAGTAACTCACCTTATAACTAAGTATAAAACTTTACCAAATGCGTGTAATGAATCGATTCCGTAATGACAGCAGCATTTGACAATGTTTTATACATACGCATTGGGTAATGTTTTGTACTTAGCCATGAGGTGGATACTGCAGTGTGTTAAAATTTAAATGGAATAAGTATTTAGGCTATGCTTGAGATTATATAATAAAAGAAAACAAGAGCTGTCACAGAAAGTGACAAATGCTCCATAAGGATTCAAGTTATAAACCACCTATTACATGTTAAGTGTGGTGGTAAAAATTGACAAAGTTTGAACCCCAGCAGTGACAAAGAAACATGGGTTTTGTTCACAAATCATTGTCCATCTATGGTTACTTTATATTTTTAAATGAAAATTGAAACTTTCTTGTATATGGAAATTACAGAGCGGACACAACAACCACCATTTATTTTATATGTATATAACATAAATATTGAAAAAGTTTAAACCCCAGCAGTGACCTTGAACTAAGGCGTAGGAACACAGGTCTTAAGGGCAACACATCATACATTTATGATAATTTCATATGTGAAATAAAAAATATAATCCTTTCATGCATATTAGTTTCAGAGCAGACTTGACCATCCCTGCCTATATGTATATTAATATCAAAATTGACAAAGTTTGAACCACCACAGTGACCTTGACCTAAGTGGTAAAAACCCAAGTCTTGTTTGTGACACACCATACATCTATGGTAATATTTCATATGTAAAAGAAAAATTACAATCCCTCCATGCATACTGAAGTTTCAGAGCAGACACAACCACCACCTTCAATTCCTATAAAACATAACAAGAGCTGTCGATAGGACAGCATGCTCGACTATTCTAAATGCTTGATAGTAAAAAAAATGCCTGATACAGTTACCTCCTCCTGTTTACAGGTTGGGGTCATGATGGTGAACAAGTGTGCAAAGTTTCAAAGCCATATGTCAATGGACTTTGAAAATATTTGAACTATTACAAAAACTTTAACGTAAATTCTAAGTCGAAAAAGGGGCATAATTCTGTCAAAATGCTTGATAGAGTTACCTCCTCCTGTTTACAGGTTGGGGTCATGATGTTGAACAAGTGTGCAAAGTTTCAAAGCCATATGTCAATGGACTTTGAAAATATTTGAACTATTACAAAAACTTTAACGTAAATTCTAAGTCGAAAAAGGGGCATAATTCTGTCAAAATGCTTAATAGAGTTACCTACTGCTGTCAACAGGTTGGGGTCATGATGTTGAACAAGTGTGCAAAGTTTCAAAGCCATATGTCTATGGACTTTGAAAATATTTGAACTATTACAAAAACTTTAACGGAAATTCTAAGTCGAAAAAGGGGCATAATTCTGTCAAAATGCTTGATAGAGTTACCTCCTCCTGTCTACAGGTTGGGGTCATGATGGTGAACAAGTGTGCAAAGTTTCAAAGCCATATGTCAATGGACTTTGAAAATATTTGAACTATTACAAAAACTTTAACGTAAATTCTAAGTCGAAAAAGGGGCATAATTCTGTCAAAATGCTTGATAGAGTTACCTCCTCCTGTCTACAGGTTGGGGTCATGATGGTGAACAAGTGTGCAAAGAGTGCAAAGTTTCAAAGCCATATGTCAATGGACTTTGAAAATATTTGAACTATTACAAAAACTTTAACGTAAATTCTAAGTCGAAAAAGGGGCATAATTCTGTCAAAATGCTTGATAGAGTTACCTCCTCCTGTCTACAGGTTTGGGTCATGATGGTGAACAAGTGTGCAAAGTTTCAAAGCCATATGTCAATGGACTTTGAAAATATTTGAACTATTACAAAAACTTTAACATAAGTGGTTACGCCGACGCCGACGCTCGGGTGACTGCAATAGCTCTACTTATTCTTATCGAATAGTCGAGCTAAAAAATGACAAAGTTTGAACCCCCACAGTGACCTTGACCTTAGTCGTAGGAACCCGAGTCTTGTTCACAACACACCATATATATATATGGTTATTTCATATATGAAAGAAAAATTACAATTCTTCCATGCATACTGAAGTTTCAGAGCCAACATTATTACCACCATCTATATTTATATAACAATAAAAATGACAAAGTTTGAACCCCAACAGTGACCTTGACCTTAGCCGTATAAACCCAAGTCTTGTTCGCGACACACCATACATCTATGATTATTTCATAATGTAAAAGAAAATTGAAATACTTTCATGCATATTGAAGTTTCAGAGCGGACAAGACCACCACCTTCTATATTTATATAACATAAAAAATGACAAAGTTTAAACCCCCACAGTGACCTTGACCTTAGTCATAGATACCCCAGTCTTGTTCGCGACACATCATACATCTGTAGTTATTTCATATATGAAAGAAAATTTAAAATCCATCCATGCATACTGAAGTTTCAGAGCGGACACGACCACCCCCTTCTTTATTTATTTAACATAAAAAATGACCAAGTTTGAACCCCCACAGTGACCTTGACCTTAGTGTTAGGAACCCCAGTCTTGTTCGCGACACACCATACATCTATGGTTATTTCATATATGAAAGAAAAATTAAAATCCTTCCATGCATACTGAAGTTTCAGAGCGGACACGACCACCACCTTCTATATTTATATAACATAAAAAATGACAAAGTTTGAACCCCCACAGTGACCTTGACCTTAGTGGTAGGAACCCGAATCTTGTTGGCGACACACCATACATCTATGGTTATTTCATATATGAAAGAAAAATTACAATCCCTCCATGCATACTGAAGTTTCAGAGCGGACACGACCACCACTGTAAAGCGGGACAGACGGACAATTCGATTTTAATATGCCACCCTTCGGGGGCATAAAAAGTATTATAAACATTATAGAACAATATGTACATTTGTAATTGAATGAAGCCAATTATAGTGATATTGAATAGTAATAAGTAAAATTTGAGTTTTGTGTTTAATTTATACAAATTTTGTCGTTCAAAATGCAGGGTGAGTGCATTTTATGAAGGGCGAGTAAATTTGTAGGGTCACTCACCCTGCAGGGTGAGTCACGCCCTAAAAAAATTCATCAGGCCTATTAAATGTCATTACAAGGTTAAATATCATCATAAGGTTAAATTAGAATAGTATGTTATTGTTTTGTTTTTTGTTTCTTCTTAAAAAGTTGAGTTTAGTTTGTAATCTTATGTCAGTCATAAATGAACACTAGTGTACACTATAATAACCAGATTTTCCAATTATTTGATTTTGGATTCAGCAAAAGTACCCTTATATATTAGAAAATCAGCCTAAGAAATTGAACTTGAAAATTGTGATTCTTAAAGTATAATTTTAACTAATATTAACTATTGATAAGTTTTTAATATTCTTGCCTTTGATTTCTTCTTCCTTAAGAAATCCAGCTGTTTTAGGGCTTGAAAAATCTTTGATTGGTTCTTTTGATTTCTTCAACTTCACAGCACTGAGTTGATCTGCCAAACTGGACATGGTTCTGTGTGCTTCTTTCTAAAATATACTTAAAATAATGAAAAAGCTATTATTCTTTTATTATCATTATGAATATAATGTTGACTCCTAAAGACATGACTCTGTTCATCCTATTTTACCTAGAGATGATTCAACCCTCCAAGCAAACCTTTCAAATTAACACTTAGAAATTTCAACCACAGCTTTAGGTCTTGCCTCTAAAACTTTATATACATGTACTTCTTTTTATCCTTTCATCTCTTGTGGCATAAAGGTTCTTGATCAGACCTGTTATGAAACCTTACAAGAAAATATATATTTCAACATCTATAATAATACACTTGGGGTGTGAAGCTCCAAACTCCTTAAAATCCAAATAATATGCATAATTTTCAATTCCAGCATACCGTAAAATTCCTATTAAATGCCCCCGGGGGCTAAACATTTTCCAAAAGGGGGGCTATTATTAAAATACATTTTTCCTAAATAAAAAAATCACTGTAAATACATTTAGTGTTAGCAAGTGTTGGTAATAACATTAAAAAGTATAAAGGTTTTATAGTTCATATTATACATATTTGTGTTTACGATAAAATAAAATGGATTCTGAATGATTTGAATATAATAATGTATTTAAATATGAGTTCAGCACTGATGAGTAGATTATTTTCATTATCAAAAGTCCTGGGGGGGGGGCCTTTATTAGGGAAGGGGCGTTTATTAGGAATTTTACGGTATATACTTATCATATATATCAATAAAACTTAATATACACCATTTTGAAAGAAAATGAATTGAATTTTTTAGAACTCAGAAAATTTTGACATGCCAAAGCTACATTCTGAGATGTTTTTGTTCTGGGTCAGAATCTTCCTTGTACATTAGTAGCACAGGTGTTTGGAGAAATTGGTTGGTCACTGACTCACTATCCCCAATAACAAACAAGAGGGTCAAGATTGCCCTAGATCACTTACCTGACCCATCAAATCCATCCGAGCAATTACCTAGACAGGCATCCTGACCAAGTTTCATGACTCATATTCAAACTTGACCTAGAAATTATCAAAACAAACTTTCAGACCAATTTCCAGGATACTTAGATCAAAACAGTAGCCACCAGAGTGTTAACAAGATTTTTCTATTTTTAACTCCTGTGACCTAGTTTTTCATCCGAGATGACCCATGTTCAAACTCACCCGAGCTATTACCTAGACAAGCAGCCTGACCAAGTTTAATGACAACTAAGTCAAAAAAGTGACCACTAAAGACTGTTAACAAGGTTTTTCCATATTTGGGTGGTGTGATCTAGTTTTTGACCCCAGGTGATCCATATTCAAACTTGACCTAGAAATCATCAAAACATATTTTCAGACCACTTTCCAGGATATTTAGATCAAAACAGTAGCCACTAGTGTTAACAAGATTTTTCCATTTTTAGTTCCTGTGACCTAGTTTTTCATCTGAGATGACCCATATTCAAACTCATATAAGCAATTACCTAGACAAGCATCCTGACCACCACGTTTGATGATGATTGAGGCAAAAATGTGACTGCTAGAGTGTTACAAACAAATGTGGACGGAGGACGGACATTCAACAATCCTGACCTAACAAAGTTGAGCTAACAAAGGGGCAAGATGGCCCTAGATCGTTCATCTGACCCATCAAACTCATTCGAAATATTACTTAGGCAAGCATTCTGACTAAGTTTCATGACAGATGAGTCAAATATGTGATCACTAGAGTGATAACAAGGATTATCCATATTTGAGCAGTGTGATCTAGGTTTTGACCCCAGGTGATCCATATTAAGACTTGACCTATAAATCATCAAAACAAACTTTCAGACAAATTTCCAGGATATTTGGATAAAAACAGTAGCCACTGGAGTGTTAACAAGATTTTTCTATTTTTAGCTCCTGTGACCTAATTTTTCATCCGATATGACCCATGTTCAAAGTTATCCAAGCAATTACCTAGACAAGCATCCTGATCATATTTGATGACAATTGTGACCACTAAAGTGTTAACAAGGTTTTCCATATTTGGGCGGTGTGACCTAGTTTTTACCCAGATGACCCATATTCAAACTTGACCTAGAAATCATCAAAACAAATTTCAGACCAATTTCCAGGATATTTGGATCTGTTTTTTGAAATCCTTTTCTGGCCCTGTGATCTACATATGCAACAGACCGGAACCATTTGAACAACTTTGAAAGGGGACCACCCAAGGATCATTTCTGTAAAGTTTGGTTGATGTGCAGTCATTGGTTTCAGAGGAGATGTTGTTTATGTGAAAAGTTGACGACGCACGACGACGCACGACGGACACAGGGCGATCACAATAGCTTACCCTGAGCATTGCTCAGGTGAGCTAAAAATAATACTTTGACCAAAGCAGATTTCGTACAGAAAAGTGACTGATAGATCAACAGCAACTTAACAAAGCAGACATTTTTGGGGCCATCCAGGTTTAGGGGTTGTCCAGTTTTGGCGGTCCCGCACCAGTATATCACCTATTCAAATATATTTCAATTGAAAAATACTGCAGTTTACGTGGTTTTTGAGAGGTAGGAGGGATGTACAGTGGATGAGGGGGCGGCCTGGTGGTAGTGACCAATCAACGCGCCGAACACCTAGTGTTGTCTCGATTGTCTCTGAAAATCGATAACTAATCGGACCACCCCAAAATCGGCTACAATCAATAATCACTCTCCAAGGGTGTTACCCAGGATCGAGCCCCAGGGCATTTTTTCCTTCTATAACAGGGGCCGATATAAGGCCCCTTCACACAAAAAAACTCACAATTTCAAAAGAAATATCACAAAATATTGGGACTTTGTCTTTGAAATACATTGTTTACCCTCCAGTTAATCATGATTTACGCCAATTTCAAGAACACAGAAATAGTTTTAATCAGTTTAAAAGGTTTAAGCACATGTTAAGCGGGTTAAAGTACCAACTTGAAGACATTTTCCGGTTTCATAATGTTGCTAATTGCCAAATAATATGTATTTTTTTTATCACAATTTTATGACAAATCACGCTTTTTCACAAAATGATCAGGTCCAGGCCCCTTCACAATTTTGACAAAATGCCCTGAACCCGGAACCTAGGGTTAGTGACAGTCAGTGGTCTAACTGTAGTCCAATATATTAGACGTTACAGGCTTGTTATAGTTTTTGTCGGTCAAGCCTGACGTCTAATAGGATTTCGAGACGTTTCGGCCCCCAAGACGAATCGGCCCCAAACTACCCTAGACGTTTCGGCCCCGGACGTTTCGGCCCTATACCAAATCGGCCCCAGAATAAGTACTGTATTTTAAACCGATATATTAATAGCATTTCAATAAATAAATGAATCAATTAATATATATATTAAATCATTTTGTATAAAAACTAGATTATAATAGTAGTAGCGGGAAAGTAATCAATACAAACAGAACAGAACATAAACTTTATTTGAAAAAATATAATACACAAACAAACAATAATTTACACCATATATAGATAATATTTTATTTGAATGATTAAGAAGCAAGACACAAAACAATACATGAATCAGACATTAAATTATCATCAACAACTATTTAACAATGACAAGTTTGATGGATACGAAAATACAAGTACAGAACAGTTAAACAATTTTACTTGAAACACAACAAATGTGAACAGACACTTTTTATAAATAACATTTTTACAATTTTTCAAATCTTTTGAAGTTTTCTCTGATATCACTTGCAGCCAATTAGCATAAAGCTATAAACAGTTAATTAGTTACACCTTGAAAAAAATTACGTATAGTTTAATTAAGATCAAAAGATAATGTTTTCTAAGGAATAATTGTTAGTAACTTTCTTAATCCAGAAGTTTTAGTGGTTTGTTTTATAAATTAAGTAACCTGCCTTTATTGTTTGTTACACCTTTAAAAACATTAACGTAATCTAAATGGTTCAATAGTCCAATATATTAGACGTTACAGGCTTGTTATAGTTTTTGTCGGTCAAGCCTGACGTCTAATAGTTATTGCTCAAAAACGCATAGCATCATAAAAAAATCCAAAAATGTCTATTGTCTTGCCTTTCAAGCTTTATTCAAAAGCTTATCATATTTTCTTTCAATTTCATGCTCAATCATACACAAAAACTTTCAAACGATGTACTTATCAATTTAAAATAAAATATAAACATCAATCTATTTTTGTCTATCAGCCGTGCTTTACAGATTGATTCCAAATTTTTGAACGGAAAAATATACTGACGGTGCATGGGCAATTATTTCGTTAAAAAAAATATTCCGTTAGATTGTTCTGACTCAGTTAAACGCTTGCATTTGAATTAGCCAATTAGATTTCGCGCACTTTACGGCCGCCATTTGTTTATCGGCTGTAAAAGGAATTGAAATACATTAGAGGATTTAATCATGATTTTTCGGATGTGACAGTTTAATTATTTTGACAAAAGGTATTTATTTTTTAGTTTTGTTCATAAATAGGTCAAACATTATGTAAATACACGCTGTCTTCATTGTTTTTCGTTCCGCCCGATTTTCTGGCGGAACATGCTATGGGTTTTTGAGCAATTTCGATATGACGTTGCTTTGCCCAGAAGCAAAAATATCTCAAAGCGACGTCATATTTATAGGACTAAATGGTTCAAGAGATCAAAATATAATAAATAATTATTTAAAGAATTAAAGTGTCATAATTGTTTAATTGTAATTAAATTATTGTTGTTAATCAATCAAGCAATATACTATAGTGGGGCCGAAACGTCTCTCGGAAAAGGGCCGAAACGTCCAGGGGCCGATTTTTCGACTGGGGCCGATTTGGTTTGGGGCCGAAACGTCCTGTTTGCTCTAATAGTTATTGCTCAAAAACGCATAGCATCATAAAAAAATCCAAAAATGTCTATTGTCTTACCTTTCAAGCTTTATTCAAAAGCTTATCATATTTTCTTTCAATTTCATGCTCAATCATACACAAAAACTTTCAAACGATGTACTTATCAATTTAAAATAAAATAATTATAAACATCAATCTATTTTTGTCTATCAGCCATACTGGTTAAGCAAGGTGCTTTACAGATTGATTCCAAATTTTTGAACGGAAAAATATATTCGAACACACTGGCGGTGCATGGGCAATTATTTCGTTAAAATAATATTCCGTTAGATTGTTCTGACTCAGTTAAACGCTTGCATTTGAATAAGCCAATCAGATTTCGCGCACTTTACGGCCGCCATTTGTTTATCGGCTGTAAAAGGAATTGAAATACATGAGAGGATTTAATCATGATTTTTCGGATGTGACAGTTTAATTATTTTGACAAAAGGTATTTATTTTTTAGTTTTGTTCATAAATAAGTCAAAAATTATGTAAATACACGCTGTCTTCATTGTTTTTCGTTCCGCCCGATTTTCTGGCGGAACATGCTATGGGTTTTTGAGCAATTTCGATATGACGTTGCTTTGCCCAGAAGCAAAAATATCTCAAAGCGACGTCATATTTATAGGACTAGTCTAACTGGTGCTAACCAACTGTGCTAACTTAGGACAAATACAAATCACTTATTTTTTGACAATTTTATTAAATAATTACATGTATTTATAATATTTCACATTTAATCGTCGGATTTTTCTTCTTTTCCATCATAGTATTGTATATTATTGTTAACGTACCTGTTTCCAATCATCTAACCTGAATTGAAATTTTCACAACGTGTAAATATTATAGGGACTAATAATTATCTTTGTCAAATGATATTTATCATTGATTATTTTCTATGATAATTCATATTATATTTTTAAAATAAAAACTATATTCTGTTGATATATATTTTTAGAAACATATCTGAAATTTATCTTTGTTCTTCTGTTAGGCTATTGATTTATTCTCTACTGATAACGTACAACGTTCAATCCCTATCCGGAAGTAAAATTTCCTAAATTCAAGAAGTCATCATGTATCGCTCAGACACAAAAGAAAACACTAGGTTGTTCGTCTTAGCAGGAAAAGGAGTCAACGAAGAAGTATTTAGAGAGAAATTTGAACAATATGGAAAAATAGAAGATCTCTGGATTGTCAAAGACAAGCGCACAAATGAGGATAAAGGCATGTGAATTTTTTATTGAACGGTGTAGGGGCATTTTAGGCCGAGTGCAACAAGTCCTGTGGCAATGCAACTCTTTTTTCGGCGTAGCTGTATTAAAATGGATTTTGACCTAGATTTGTAACAAATGAAATTGTTAGTTACAAAATCTTCAGCTAAAAGAGGGTGTTTTTCATTGGTGGAAAGACTGGCTGTTATGAAATTTAAGGACAAATTCGTAATCTTTAGTTTACTTGTCTCTAAGAATAAAGTTGTATTAAAAATAATTATACAATCGTAAACTAAATATCACAATGTTATGACCAAAACAAAGATATATCAAAATACAAAAATATACAGTACATATGATTTCATGTACAATTTATTTTGTTGATAATTATTAACAACAAACCCAACTTTTTGTTTTTCAGCCTTTACTTAAACATTCGATTACTACTCACTCGTACTTTATTTGCCGTAGCTTTTCTGTTTTCTATGAAAATGAAAGATATTTTTGATCAACAAAAAGATTCTCCAGAGCTGATATGAACTGCGAAAATTAATATATTTAAAATGCTACATAATCATAAAGAATCGCAAAACTTTAAGTATTATTTTTTGTGCGTAATAATAACAAATTAATTTATTCATAGTTATTTGGCGTTTGTTTACACCGGTAGGTAAATTTACCGAAATACACCCCAATTGACTACCACAATCTGAAACTGTCTCACTTGATAATCAGTGTCATTGATGGGTTATACAAAATTGAGTTTAGTACTTATTATAAGATAATTAGATATATTTCTGTATATATGGAACAACATTTATATTTTACATTCCACATTTAAAGTACATTGTAAAATATAACCTGTGTAGGTGTACGACACGTAGCCATGCCAGTAGGCTTAACTAGTACCTCAACCTCATACCCCTAGTATATACAAAATACTAGTCAGGCTGTGCAATTTTTAATAGAAATCCTTTTTTTATAAAATACATAATTATAACTTTTACTAGAAAGGTTATGTTTAACTATTGATTTAAGTCTTCAATTATTCATTTTCATTGCCAGATAGATAAGAAGGCATTATAAATAGTATAGTTCAGAGTTGATATGTTCCATTGATTGTTTATTACAGTTTGTATTCTTTCATAAATAAAAGATATAAACAACAAAAGATTTTGGTGTTATTATCATGACCTAATAATTGCAGCATTTTATACAGAGAAGTGCTTTTAAAAAATGAAGGTCAGATACATATAAGTTAATATTATTTAACATTAAAATTCAAGTTGTCACCTGATTGTGGCCTTTGCAGTCTCTAAATTTGGTAGTGTGGTTGGTTATTATCTGGTATTGACATTGAATCAATCTATAATATATAATCTATTCTAGCATCTATAATAACATGACTAATTTGTTGACATTATAGGAGCATACATGTTTCAGCTAAGTTTAGACAACTGTCATAGATTATACTAGTAACCACCAAATATATTTCAATTTAGACATTTATATTGTTATAAAGTATAAATATCATTAATTTTGAAAATATTCTAAAGCTATGAGACATTTTGCACTGAATTTACGCCGATTATCTTTTTTAAAGATATTTCTTGTTTAAATGTAGTTGTATTGTTCTATTTAAAAAAAAAATTGCAAGATTGATAATAATTATAATAATATGAAAAAGGCAAAGCCTCAAAGCGAGCTCGATTTTCTTTAACCGTGAAATAGTAATATGAAATTAGGTGTTACCTATGGCGCAGAAAGCCTCTTATGATTTATGATTTAAGCATAACATGTTTAGTGTACATGTCATGTAATTCGTTAATAAATAAATGCAGGTATTTTGTACCGTAAACAGAAACGATTAAATTGGTGGTGTTCAACCTATCATCAGAAGAGGGTAATTAAATTCATTAAAGAGTTGTTTGTTATGTTTAAGTGGAGATTCTTCAAATTATTTTTATGCATTGTTTCTTTTCTATTCATCTATTATTTTTCAATGGCTGAATGAATTATAGGAAAGAGGCTAATAAATTAGTGGTTCCAGTTCTTTTAATTTATGTACTTCTTGGTTAATAAAATAAATGGTTTGGCATGACCCACAAAAAATTCAAGTGACCCCTAAAATCTGATACAGGGGGTCAAAAATAACCCCCAAAAAATTGGAGCTGGAAGAAACACTGCCTATGGCGCGGAAAGCTTGGACTTTCCGCGTAAAAAGTAATCTTTTATTTTTATTATACACAGGGCTGCAGATAACATGCGTATTTGCGGGCCGGTATTTGCGTTATTACCCAATTAAAATATCTAAAAACCCAATAGAACTAATAACTAAGGGTAAGAAAAAGTAAATGAATTCTTATTTATGCAAACTACATTTGAACTGGTGCGTAATGACGTCAATTATTACATAACGCGTACATCAGGCAGATCATACTGTTTCAGACTGTTTTAATCTTTAAATTATATCAGGCAGCTTGGAAATCTCCCAGGCCAATAAACCATAAAGCAAAGTAGTAAGTAGCTTTTTTATAACCATACAAAACCTACAACAGTCTACAATGAAGGTCAGAAATTTTGGGTAAAATACATGAACTCGTGCTTTATAACCCAAATTTGTTAGAGGGGGTAGGGTAAAAAATACAGAAATAACTCAAAGAAAATAGAAAAAACCCAATAGATCACAAAACAAGGGGTAATTACCCAATATACACAAAATGTTATCTGTAGCCCTGTATACATTTTCAATTTGGAAGTGGGTAGCAGTGATTTTTTTACCTCTGCGTCCAGAATGCATTGAATTTGCTGTGGACGCAAAGTATCAAAATAATGTGCATCTTTTGGATGCCAGGGAGTCCTGTCTGACAGGAATTTGGTATAAATTCAAGTTATGTCAATATGATGACAGTAAAATTTAGTGTTTTTGCAAATATTTTACATTGTTTTACCGATAAGGCTTACCACTTTCTGTCTTCTTACTGATATAATAAGTATTACTTGCACGCGCGGGAAATGTGTTGTCCTGTGAATGAAAAGAGTTAAAGGTCAGAGCATGGTTCTCATTAAAATGTAACTAAGACGGTCTGTTTTGAATTTGAGGTATTATCATTCTTTAAAAGCTAGGAATACAGGCGTAAGTATTGTTGTCAATATATAAACTGTTTTTCTTTATTTTAGGTGTTGTGTATGTCACATATTCCAAGGTGTCAGAAGCTGCCTTGGCTCTAGAGGAAATGAATGGTAAAATATTGCCTGGAAATCCAAGACCTCTGAAGGTAATAATTTTTTTTTTTTTTTTTTTTTTTTTTTGAGGCCCCATCTGGGTAACCCCGTTTATTTACCCTGTAATAGGTATGAGGGGGTCGGGTCATCCTCCATCATACCTTACATTGTTAATATACAATATACATGTTGCAAAATAATTATATTCATGTAAATATTGTCAAATACATGTACAGTATATATTTTGTATATAAATATAAACAACATACATACAATAAACCCAACTATTTTCCAAAAATATTTTACCAATAAAAAATACTACTTATTAATAAACAATTAAACAATCTGTTACGAGGTAAAGTTTTGTTTCACATATTAAGTGTAGTTTAAGCAATTAAGGATCTTATAATTCACCATCTATTATTTTCATCATCTGTCAAATGTGTATTTCTATAGATATTCCATGCTAATTTCAAACTATTTTTAAAACCAATCCATGTAGGTAAAAAGTTTTTTCTCTTAGACAAATAAATATATCTTTTCAATTCTAGAAACAATATGTCATTTTTAAAATCTTTAGTTTCTGTACCTAATATGAATGATTTACAACAAAGAACATCATCAAAATTATGTAAGTTTTCTCTAAGGTATTGAAATAGGCTTTGAATTTTCTGGCATTCCCAAAATAAATGTAAAAGTGTTTCTTCACAGCATTTACAAAAAGTACACATTTTATTGTCAACAATTTTCATTTTAAACAAAAGTGAGTTTGTAGCTAAAGTTCTATGAATAATTCTTGTTTGGAACCACTGAATATATAAATCTTTAGAACATTTGAAAACATAACTATATATTAACTGCCAATTAATGTTATTATCTTTAAAACATGTGTTCCACCTTTCTTGACTTGTAGGTATGTCTGAATTTTTAGCTATAATCTCATAAACATATTTCTTATTGTTATTCATAGTTTAAATAGGTTTACTATAACAGCTTATTTTAGAGTATTGAACATTGAGCAATTTTTTATTTATCAAAATATTAAACATTTGCATGTACAATTTTATTGCCAGTTTTAAACTATGATATTGTAAAAAAATCACAGGTTTGCATGTGACTTATTCTAAATATATCAAATCTACAAAGTTACCCTGTTCATTTATAATATCTTTTACAAATCTGATTCCTTTATTATATAATGTCTGAATGTAAATATATCTATTTCCTGCTAAAAAGTTGTGATTGTAAAAAAGTGGCATATGTAATACTTGCTCTATATTATCTATACAAAGTTTATCTACAAACACCATATAAGCTTTTAAAACATCAATCCAGAAAGAATTTGTTATTTTACTAATAATCAAATTACAAAACATCTTTCCAGTGTTAAAAATTTTGTCAATACTAAACAATGTGTTTACTAGCTTATAACATTTACTTTTGCTATTACTAACATATCTTTTAAACCATTTTATCTTTAAACTATGAAGGTAATAATTATTTTTTATATAAAACTGTGTAATTTCAATCTTTGTAAAGAATAACTTTTATGTAATATTGTACATGATAATTATAATATTGGTTTGGTTGTAAAAAATTGAGAATCTTTCTTTTAAAAAAGAAAAAGGTGTTTGCCCTATCACCAGTGGCCTGTTTTCCAGTCCAATCCAAACAGGCCACTGGTTATAGGGCAAACAGCCTAGCTCATACTAGCTGGTATGGTCACAACCCTTCTTAAGTTGTTGCTGTTTATCACACATTTATATAGTGTTGTATTAACTAGGATTATGCTGGCAACTGGTCATAAAGGCAAATATTTATATTACTTCCATCTGCATTGCATACTGATTTTTCCCCATTTCAAAAGTAGTATTCTAATTTCCTAACAGCACTTTAAAAATCAAACTGTTAGAAAATACAGATTACAAATTAATTTGTATCATAGTTTGGGGACCTTTCTGTTGAAAAAGTGTCAGAGTTAAATCGTATACATATACATGCACAGTGCGGTAACTGGAGTGCAGGTATCAGTTACCCGCACTCCAGATAATGCCCGTGGATTGGTTCATTTTTGCCGGGGTTTACATATTGTGACGGCAGAGAAAGGGAAAGGGGCAGAACTATCATATTCAAATGCTCGTTCATTGGTTAATTTTTTCTGGGGTTTCATATTATGACAACAGGAAACGTGCTGTCATGTTTGACTATGATACAAAAGAGAAAGAACACCAAAACACTCGGCAATCTGATTTATACTCGGGGGCTACGCCCCCTCGTACAAATCAGATAGCCTCGTGTTTCAGTGCTCTTTCTATTACGTATAATACCAAACACATTAAATAAATAATAACTGGGGCATTTTTGTTGTTTAAATTTTTTTTTAGATTTGATGCACAATTTGGCAAGTAATGCTATAAATTTAAATAAAAATAATATGCCCCTTGTCTGCTAACTTCTTGATATCCCTTTAATAAAATTGGCGAAGAAGAGTTCCAAAAATGCAGATTAAAGGTTAAATATGTACTATTCAAAAGTTTGAAGTCGAAGTTTATCCATTATTTTTGTGTAACAGGTACTTGTCGCAAACACAAAAAGGGATGGGTCAGTCAGGGATCCAAGAGAAGATGAGAGACTTGTCAGATTGTTTGTTATCATTCCTAAAACATATGATGAAGAGGATGTCAACAAGGAATTTTCTGTAAGTTATAATCAGCATATATAACATTTCGCCACGATTTGTTTACAGGTTGAAATAAAATTTTGTTACTTGTCCAAAAGTGACCACTTGGGACCTTTGCAGCTTAGTGTAGTTTAAGTCACTACGTGTAACTTTGAGTCACCTGTTTTGTTGAAATTGTTGTGGGTTTGTATTGTGCCAGAAATAATGAAATGTCATCAAGGTGTGCCGAAAGTTAACAAATGTGAAGCTTAATTAAGCTGCAGTTCAGTAATCTGTGCATCTAGTGCAAAATCCTACTTGTTTAACCTGTTGCAGTACTGGAAGTAATTGTGTGATATATATACTTATTTTTTACATATTATACATTTATAGAATTGCTGTACTTTTTTTCTGCTATTGTTATCAGTAGTACAGTAAAAACTGTTTACAGTTACCTTCGATGGGAGAATAGAAAAAAGGTCACTATAGACAGGGAGTCACTGTGGACAGTCTCTACATAATTCAGATATATTCGAGACTTTAGGGAGCAGTTGGGAGATATATTAGGCGTCATCTGGAGAATTATAAGCTAGGGATAAACCAGAAAGGAAATAAGAAACACCTCTCAAATAAAACAATTCTACTATCAATCTACTTTTCATAAATGTATACCAATAGCAAACACAATATTTACATATATTGTATACATGTAGTGAGTATGTTTAGTTGGTAACAATATGCAGGGCAGATAGAGCAGTGCCACTTGCCATATTGGCAATGAGTCAGGCTGGTCATCGTCTATAATTTTTGTTTAGCGATTGCCCACAAGCCAGAATGTTAAGAGACATTTAATTTTGTATAATCAGCCTGTTTACTTTACGGAAATCAAAGTATCAATAAAACATTAGAAACAAATCTTCACATAATTTCTACAGATTAGTGCTCTGAAAAAAATTTAACAATCAAGTTTTCGAACATACCTTTAAGACGTTGGGCATTGTTTATATTTACTTGCCAAAACACCGCAGCAATTATGTATATGCAAGTGTCTTTATTCATGCAATCAGCGAAAATTGATTGAATCTATTGCCATTTTGTGTTACTGTCAACAAACAGCCACAGTGTATAAGTGTGTTGCCGATTGATCAATGCAAACTGCCGTAGATACAACGCGCGTTCTGATTCGTCAATCGCATGAATACAAACTGAGAGAGATATACATAGTGAACTCTTGCCTTGCGGCGTGTATTAGACTTTGTTGATGTTGACACGCGTTCTTAACGAGCAGATTAACGGTAATTGGTTGTAATTGAGAGGTAAACAAATTGTTAACAGATCTAGCCGAGTAAATAAGTATGACAGATCATTAAAAAAATCGGGCGACTTCAAAATCGCTTTGAAGTTTGTTTTAGGCGAAGTCGCTGATCCGAAGGCAACTTCTTCGCCGAAGTCGCCCCCTAGCTCAAGCACTGCAGCCCTTGCAAAAGTCGCTTTGCACGGCTCGTATACCGTAACGGGTGACTAAATCATGGTTGTTGTACGAACTAGACAGGGAGTCGCTACATACAGACCATTTATATAGCAAATACTGTTCGGTGCGCCAAACTATGGTCACTAAAGACAGAACGTCGCTATATACAGGGGGTCACTAAGACAGTCTTTACTGTACTTGTTTAAAGGCTATGTTTCATGTTCGTGAGACTTTATTTTGGTTTCATGAGAACAGGGTTAAAACAGGAAGCTTTCTTTCCTTGTGCAGATTATTGCAGTAAGATAATGTCAATATTTATAAAAAAAAAGAGAAATAAAGGCTTATTCATCAAACTGTTTTAATTTTTTCATCATGGACATGTTTGGCCAAATGGTTTATATCATTGACTTAGTTACCTGTCTTCAACTACTATAGATTCAAATCTGGCTGGTGATTCTTCTTGTAGATTTTGGGTGTATTTAGTTGTGTGGTTAAGGTTGTTGATTCCAAACCACTTGTCTCTCACAACTGTGGGGTTGAATGCCACTATGGACTTTGAATTCTTTTATGTGAGGAAGCTACCCAGCAATTCTTTTATGTGAGGAAGCTACCCAGCAAGCTAAGCGATTGTTGATGCTTCTTCTCAGTTGCCCATTAGTGCCTGAAACAAAAAAGTTAAAAAAGCTAGCTTATGGAAGGTTGATGAATGAGGGGCACCTTAGATCTAGCACCTTGTTGTGACTTTAAGCCATACAGAAAAATAACTAATATTTAAACCTGCTGAAATTGTATAATAAATTTATTACTGTAACCCAATTTATATTCGCGAATACAAATTTTCGCGTTTTGCCGAGGTCGGACATATTCGCGAATATTAATTTCCGCGTTTTCTTGATTTCCGAAAAATAAAAATTCGCGGATTGGAAAGTCCGATGGGGCCGTAAAATCTATTAGCCGACTATTAATCTTCAATAATTGAGGTCATTATTGGTGTCTTAAATGGGATTAACAATACGCTAGCCTTATATTGTATTGGTAAGTGAATTGTGATCACAATTCAGCAAAACATTTTCTCTATATATGTACATGTACGCATCGTTCGTCTTCATTTCTAAACATGTCGTTATTTCTATAACATATTTATATTTTGTAAACACACTTTATCTAGAAAAGTCTTTAAGAAATTCAATTTAAGCGTTTCATAAAAAAAATACCTTCTCCAATCAGGGAGAGAAAATTATGTTATTATACAGGCTGTTTGACGGGTAAAAATCGATACTAGTATGAAACCATTTTGTATTTCACTGTTTGTAATTATGTACACCAATACCATTTTGTGATGCTCGATATGTTTACACCACCTTTGTCTTAACAATTCACTCAAACAATTATTTTATAGGATCCAAAAAACAATAGCCTTTTGTGATGCTCGATAGTTTTCCCACTTTTGTCAAACGATTATTCAAACATTTATTATTATATTTAATAGTATTAAAATGTGGATGTTTATTTTGATTGCTATATTGACATAGAGTTTTTTAGGGTTTTTTTTTTGATATTCATAAAATAGTAGTAGTTAAGTTAGTTTGTGTTTTTATTGCTTTATGGCAATATTCATAACAATTCATTACTTCCTAACAGGTGCCAGTAAAATTTGAATATATCCGGTCAAGTAGCTTTGCATGAAAAACGTCTAAAATAAAAATTTCTCTCCAATTTATTCGCGAAATCGTGCGGACTTATTTGCGCAAACAAATATTCGCGCTTTGTGGCCATCCGCGAATAAAGCGAATATTAATTGGTCGCGAATATTCGTTGGGTTACAGTATGCTTTGTATTTTGGACCAGACTGTTTCGAGTTGAAGAGATTTCAATGTTAAGTAACTGCATTATTTACAGTATAACACCAAGTCAGACTGCACAGACATGTAGGCTTGCCTGGTTGTATACTGGTGACAAAGTCCAGTCATTTTTGTAACCAGCAGAGTAACAGATAATTACATGTACATGCACATACTTAAAGTAAAATACAACATTTTAATGCTGTTTCAGCAACATGGGGATGTTGCCAGTGTAAATGTATTACGTGACAAGGACACTGGTAGCCCTAAGGGGTTTGCCTATGTAAAGTTCCACAGGCCGTACCACGCTGCAATTGCAATGGAAAATTGTAAACCATGTAAGAACTACTTTTATCCTATCATTCTATCCTAATATTATTAAATATTTTACTTTTGAAATTTCTAAGAATAGCTACAGTCTGTTTTACATCAATTCATAATGCATGTTTTTTGTCATATCTTAGCAGTCAATCCACCTAACCAGCTTTCCTGGATAACTAACCAGTTATGACCTATTTCTCCCTGCAAGTGACCGGCTAGTTATCCCACATGATGTCTGAATCAGTTGTAAAGGACAAATTACCTTACTAATTTGATAAGACTACATGTCTGTGAAATAAATTGTTACAGAAATTACGTCTCACCAGTGCATCAAAGAAGTGACCCTCAGATTTCTAATCAGATGCTCTCCCTTATTGAGCTAAGCAAGGCTTTTAGCAGACAATTGAATTTTTTTCATAAATGAGTTAGGTTCATTGCTAAAGTTAATCACTTTAAATCTGTCGTCACTATCTGAATCATAGTTTCGCCATTGTAAATACAAGTAGTTAAAGATGAAAGTAACATTTAGCTTTTAAGATGTCTCTGATAAGGAAGTATTATGTTTATAGTGGATTATCGCTTACAGGATCTCAATGGTAACTGGTGTGTTTATTAGCTGCTATAAGTTAATAGACAGGTGTCATTATGGTTTTGGTAGACACGGGAAAGGAAAACTGTGATCAACAGTGTCAGATAGAACTGAATGTTTTTCCTAACTGGTGTCCTTATAGAAAGTATAGTAATACTTGTACCATAAATCCAACTAATTTAATCTTATTTTTGTGTAGCCTTTATAACTTAAACATGGTGATATATTTTTCTTATTTCAGCCTTTAAACCGAAATGGGCGGAACCAAAGAAACAAGCTTCAGACACAGTTGACAGATATGCAAGGGACTCGCGTAACTATCACGATGGGCGTGACAGAGACTCGTATGATGACCGTGGGTCACGAGGCTACGAACATAGAGACAGGGATAGGAGGGGTAGCGGGGCACCAGGAGGCTATCCTTATTCGGACAGGGATAGAGGTTGTATTTTATATAGTGTTCTTTGTACAACTTTTTGTTGTTTCAGTTTTACATACCACTTTTTACAATATAATAATTTGATACAGTAGATTATGTTGTGTATAATTTTGATGAAAAAAATGAGAAGGTTGTTAGGTTTATTGGGAACAAAATGATAATGGAAATAAATGCTCTACTTTCAGCTAACAATAAGAAACATGCCTGTAAGTCTTTGATAATCAGACTGATATGGACAATTATTGTTGTTAAAGATGAAATTCAACCTGATGAAATAAGCTAACAAAAAGAAGCTTTGTTTCACAAGATAGTTCTTTAAAAAAGCAGGTTCTTGATACTGCACAGCAATTAGAAAAATCTCTTTATGAGCTGTAAAGTGTAAAATATTAGTTTTGTAAACTGTAAATTTGAAAAGGCGAATATTTGTGTACAATTTTTTTATATATTTTTTCCGAAAATTGCAAACTCCCATGATTTACCTATTTTTCCCTTGTCATTATAAGGCACCATGATATTAATAGGAATAAAATCCATCGTAGAATAATTAAAATTAGCATTGAATAAATATGTTGGTTTTGTTTTTAGGTTTGAAGCGTGGTTTTGATGATTATAGAGATGATCGAGACAGTAGAAGGGACAGACGTGAAGATTATATTGCCGATGATGGAAGATCTAGATACAGTGATAGTAAGTACTTGAACATTTCATTAAATCTAAAATATAGGCGTCTGTGGCTAAGTGGTTATGGTTGCGGACTTCAAATCATTTACCTGTCACTGCTGTGAGTTCAAATCCTGTCATCTGAGGAAGCTATCCAGATAGCTTACGAAGGTCAGTGGTTCTACTCTGGTGCCTGCTCATGACTGAAAGACTGAAACAAAGGGCAACTGAGGTCTCCCATCTCCAGTTAGCTAGAAAATGTCTTTATGACTTATAGTGTTGGTATGACTCAAACCTCAACAAAGTAAAGAAAACAATATAATTGTATAATCTGATTAAATTGTACCTGAAAGAGAAAGTTAAAAGAACAGACCAGCATTTATATGGGGGAAAGTTTAATGTATTGTATATTACACCCTCACAAAGATCTTTCATGGTTACCAGTCACTTAAATTTAGTTGTTAGTTAAAAACAATAATTTAGACCTTCTCTTTTAAAATGTATTTTAACTTACTCAATAACAATAGATAAAACTTTGATTAAACTAAATATTAAAACTTTCTTGAATACAATTAATTTTAATTTGTGTGATTACAATGAATTTTAACTTACTCAATTAAAACAAATTTATATTTAATGTTCAAAATATATTAATATATTTATTATGGGATGAATTTTATAGGTATTCGAGCGATTCGAGTTCGAGCATATGGAGTTTAATTATACATTTAATTTGTTTACACAGGTAGTGTGTTTAGTCGACCTGAACAGACCCCATTTTCAATGATCCAGGATCATCAACACAACAACATACAGCGTCTCCTGGTCACGGCACCACTTGGCTTGACACAGAACTATCTACAGAAACTATTCAACTTGATACCTGGCTTAGAATATTGTGATCTCAATGAGCAGACAGGTTTGTTACTTCTGTTCTAGTATACATTTATAGCTTGACATATTTCACCGTGGGTTCAAATCCTGTGAGGAAAATATTTAGGTAGCTTACAAAAACGTTGGTGGTTCTACTTAGGTACCTCTTGGTGCCTGAAATAATGCACAGAGGGGCACCTGAGATCTTCCTCCACCAGTCTCAATATGATCTATACAGTGTTGGTGTGACTTAAGACCCAACAACAAAACTAAATTTTCTCTATCTTTAGAATAATAAGGCTGTCTCTAACACTTCTGTGTTGGTGTCAAATTGGATTCAATATAGATCCTCAATTTAGAATTTCGAAGATGCAACCTACAAGTCATACAAAGGAAATACAACAAGATAGTAAAGGTTACTTGCTCACTTAAATATTATGTTTTTTAGTTTAATAGTGAGAGTATTTTACTAGTTGATTAGTGATAAACATAAATGTTACTTAAGACATAAAAATGTTTTGTCAAAAACTATGTATTTCAAGCTAGTCTTCAACTTCAGGTTTAAGCATGTTTCGTGCTTTTTCAAGACAAACATATATATTTCATACATTTATTTTCTTGCAAATTTAATATGTAACGTGTTTGATCTGAACAAAACTATATATATTTCAAGTTCAGATTTCAACATGTCTAGTGTATGTTTAAGACAAGTACATAAATATAAATAAATTGTAGGTCTAGCATATGTCCGTTATCAAACTCCTCAGTGTGCAGCCTATGCCAGGGACAAGTTGGATGGGTTTGAGTACCCGATTGGAAGTCGGCTTATCGTGAAGTTCACTGAGGGATCTGGTCACAGTAGCCAAGACCAAGGTTTCATGTAAGATTTTTATTATATCTATTTATATTAGCATTGTAGAGCTGTGAAGAGTCTTCACAAATTAATCTGTTGGAAAAATTTGTATAAATATTTTCCTGACCTACTATTGATTTATAAATTTGGGTCTTAATTTTTTTGTCTTGTCTATTTGTGTGACTATGAACAATTTTACAACTTAATATAAACCATGGACCTGTACTACAGTATGCTGTCACACTGATTTTATTACTTGCTCCTTGTTTTAGACAATTGAAGATACCAATGAGATTTCTTTAAAACGATGTTCAAATGAGATTCAAATTTGTTCCTTTAATACTGCTAAGAAATAATTTTCTTAAGCCTCCAACAAGTGAAGGTGAAAAAGCACCAAATTGTTAATAATGACATGCAGAAATGGTTTGAAACTCAAAAAAAAATCCAACCAGGTACCTAAATAGTTCTTAAAAAGAAAATGCAAACAATTTGCAATACAAAAAAATCTAACCAGTCACCTAAATAGTTCTTAAAAAGCAAATGCAAACAATTTGCAAAAATGAATGGTCAATATTGCAAATGAAAGTAAACCCTTACAATGCCTGGAAAAAAAAAGTAAGACATTTGTAGGGACCAGTATCGAGCCAGGTTGGTCTTCACGTCCTTGATTTCTTAACATTGCAAATATTGTATCTTGATGATCCAAGTATCATCTTTTACCTAAGTTTGTAAACAGTTTTTGAATGAATATTTTGAAATTGGGATAAAACCACAAGTAAAATATAAATAACAAATTTCTTAAAACCAGATATTACAGAACACATACAACATGTATTTAGAGTGGGCATTATTTTTGAACTCTGGAAAACAGATAATCTTGGGCACATTTTTTGTGTCGCCTCTACGGAGTAGTGGCGACATATAGGGATCACTTCTCCGTCGTCTGTCTGTCCGTCTGTCTGTCTGTCTGTCCGTCCGTCCGTCTGTCCATCCGTCCGTCACAAAACTTGTCCGGACTACTCCTCATAAACTACTGGTGCAATTTCATCCAAACTTTACAGGAATGATCAGTACCAAGTCTAGTTGTGCATATTGTCAGGATTTTTGTGTCGCCTCTACGGAGTAGTGGCGACATATAGGGATCACTTCTCCGTCGTCTGTCTGTCCGTCTGTCTGTCTGTCTGTCTGTCCGTCCGTCACAAAACTTGTCCGGACTACTCCTCATAAACTACTGGTGCAATTTCATCCAAACTTTACAGGAATGATCAGTACCAAGTCTAGTTGTGCATATTGTCAGCATTTTCCGGTTCAATGATTTTTGTCAGAGTTATGGCCCTTTAATAATTTTTATTTTTAAAGTTTGTCCGGACTACTTCTCTTATACCACTAATGCAATTTCAATGAAACTTTACAGGATTAATCTGTAGCTCAAGTCCTTGCGCATATTGCACGGGTTTTCCGGTTGAATGATTTTTGGCCGAGTTATGGCCCTTTGATAAAAAGGTTTCTTTTTCTGTGTGTTGCCAGATACACAAAAGCTTGTCCGGACTACTCCTCATAAACTACTGGTGCAATTTCATCCAAACTTTACAGGAATGATCAGTACCAAGTCTAGTTGTGCATATTGTCAGCATTTTCCGGTTCAATGATTTTTAGCTCGACTTTTCTATGAAAAGGGGAGCTATCCTACTCGCCCCGGCGTCGGCGTTGGCGTCACACCTTGGTTAAGTTTTTCGTACCACCCCACTTTATTTCAGAAGTAATTCAAGTATGGCTTTGAAACTTACCATACTTGTTCACCATCATAACCTCCATCTACAGACAAGAGTACATAACTCTGTCAAGGTTTTTGACAGAATTATGGCCCTTTTTTGACTTAGAAAGTGTATTGAGCTTGGTTAAGTTTTTTGTACCACCTCACTTTATTTCAAAACCATTGGAGGTATTGCTTTGAAACTGACCATACTTGTTTACCATCACGACCTTCATCAACAGACAAGAGGACATAACTCTGTCAAGGTTTTTGACAGAATTATGCCCCTTTTTGACTTAGAAAATACATTGAATATGGGTAAAATCCACTTATTGCCTTAACCCTTTGAGATATTGCTTTGAAACTTTTAATGCTATTTCACATCATTACCCCCATCTGTATGCAAGAGAAGGTAACTCTGTCAAGGATTTGTTTTAAAAATTAAGGCCTTTTATCGACTTAGAATCTTGGTTAAGTTTTTAGTACCAGTCCACTTTTTGACTGAACTGTTTGAGATATTAATTTGAAAGTTGGAATACTTGTTTACAATCATGATTCCCAAACATGTCCAGGAGAAGGTAATTCTGTCAAAGATTTTATTTGAATTATGGCCCTTAACTGTCAATGTTTTGTATTATAGGCAAGCACAATTCAGTAAAATAATTCTTCACTAAATATCTTAATGCTCATGGCCATTGTTCACTTTAAAAATACAGAGATTCTTGTATTGCCTTTTACTGCAAAAACTTTTTTTATTGGCAAGCAATAAAAAAGTCGAGCGCGCTGTCTTACGGACAGCTCTTGTTGTTTGAGTTATGGCCCTTTAATAATTTTTATTTTTAAAGTTTGTCCAGACTACTTCTCTTATACCACTTATGCAATTTCAATGAAACTTTAGAGGATTGATCTGTAGCTCAAGTCCTTGCGCATATTGCACGGGTTTTCCGGTTGAATGATTTTTGGCCGAGTTATGGCCCTTTGATAAAAAGGTGTTTTTTTCTGTGTGTTGCCAGATACGCAAAAGCTTGTCCGGACTACTCCTCATAAACTACTGGTGCAATTTTATCCAAACTTTACAGGAATGATCAGTACAAAGTGGTTAGTCTAGTTGTGCACTGTCCGTCTGTCTGTCCGTCTGTCACAAAATTTGTCCCAACATGAAATTGGCCATCATGAGGCGACACATGTGATTACTGATCGCTCTTGTCTCAATATTTAAGCTTACAATTTTATTTTATTTGTATGATCAGGTCAGGAAATTTCAGAGGTGGACCAGAACCTTTGATGGATTCCAGTTCAGTACAGCACCAGGTAATGTGAAAAATATTTTATAATTTTGTTTTATGAAAAAGTGTCTAAAAGGTGATTGAGTTTTCCTTCATTAATCCTTAACTTGCTGTGTAACTTATTCCAGCAGTTTTAGAGCCAGGCCAGTCTGCATGTGCCAGTTTTCATCATTTTCTTGGTAAAGCCGAAAAGTTGCTGCATGATTTGTAAATTGTCTGTACACCATAACATTGCCCTGCTCCAACCTCTAAAAAAATACATGTAACAGAAACATATAAATGTATTTAAAGCTTATGGCACTCTTAGGCTGATTTGTTATCTGTATCCTGTTAAGCTTGACCAATTGGGAAAAAACTTAAAAGCTGTTCTGCTCATCAGAGCCTCAATGCAAGTTAGTGAAGATTTTGCATACCACTTCATTTCTCATTCAGGAACTGTCAAAAATATAAACTTGCACCAAGGTCATAGTACAGGTATGTGACCAAGACTTTGATTAAGGGCAGATTTTATATAAATTTGCCATTGACTTTCATGCTGTCTGTAGACTGACAAAACTGTAGAATGTGGGGGCATCTATGTGCTGTGTAGTTTGCAAAGAATTTTTTTTTTTACTTTTATATTTTGTTTTATAACTAAAAGAAGGCATTGGCCTTTGAAAATATATTTTTTAAGCCTGACTTTTTTTAACTTACTAATTAGGCTGCGAAAGTACTTGAACAAGCTGGTATCAACCCAGGACTGGTCCTTCAACCACCAAAAGACAGCAACGCAGTTGAACGTGTGACCTATTGTAACTTGAAGTTACCGTTACCTAAACCACTTGTGCCAGAAGATACGCCAACCGCTCAGCGTCTGTTCATAGTATGTCAGCCGGCGGCTGTCCCGGAGAGAATATTGAGGGATGCGTTCAGTAGGTTTGGCAACCTTATAGAGGTGTTTTTACTGTCAGGTGAGTTATAGAGGACACTTGTGAAATTTTTTTTTATGAAAATATTTCTCTTTATGGACCAGGTTTTCAATTTTAAAAATTTTAGATTGGGGAATAATGAGCTGTCAGACATTTGGGTGGGTGTCACAGGTGGTTTCCGGTAAAGATCTGGAGTTTTGAATGAGATACTGTAATCAAACTTTGTATATTGCAAGCTTATGTTGAAACTTATGATAGGACTGCTTTGGGCCTCCTTGGTTCATGGTCACTGTTACTAAAAATAGAAAAAATAGTTTCTAGTTCGAATACCTTGTTTCATGGCATTGCCATTTTGCTTTGTTATATACATGAGTGTATTTAGTTTTTAATTGGTTCAGACAAATGCAGGAGTTATAAAACACTATACCTGATTGTTTTGGTTTTGAAAGTTTGTTAATTTGCTTGAAGGATATTAATAAAAAAAATTTCATATGTTCATCTTGCAGAGAATTCAAGGTTTCAGATACTCAACTTAAATTTCAAAGTTTAAAGGTCATAGCCAGCATAGTTTGGTTCACTCTCTTACTTTAAAACTAGTTGAAAGATATCTGAAAACTTGGTAAAATGTTAACTTGTGTTTTAATATTAAGAACACATGTTTCACGTTCATTATAGTCAGACATTTAAATATTTGAGCCTACACATATACTATGATGTTGATGATGTTTGGTTTAGATATTTATGTCATAAAGACAACATATAGAACCAGCATTTCAGATGCATCAGTTCAAGGTCACAGTTTGTGTCAGCTTAAACTTTTAAACCACTTGTAGGATGTTCATTATATTTTGGTCAAATGTTTATCTCATTAGTAATATGCAAGGTTTGCAAATCAATATTTGGGAAAAAAGTGATCCCTCAGTTATAAATGTAATATTACTGTCAAATAGAGAATAAAGATTTATTTGTCCATACACACACGCTACAAATAAAAAATAATATGTTGATATTGATAACGGTTTTCCTGTAACAACAGGTACATTAATGAGTGGTGGCATGGTCGAGTGGTTAACGTGTCAGACTTGTAATCTAATGATTGCTAGCCGAATGGGTTCGAACCCTGTCAGGGGCAAGTAGTTGTTTCCTTGAGCAAGAAACTTTACACTCATTGCTCAGTACTGGTTTGGTCCAGGAATGGTTTGGAAAGTTTGTCTATAAGCTAATAGCTTCCTACACAATCAAACTTAAATAAGTTTTGTATAAACCAACCGGTACACTAACATGATAACTGGTTAGTTAAGTAGAATAGAAAATCTTTTTGTTTGGTTAAATATCTTTGTGACAACTTAAAATAAACATAATTACATGAAAGTTGCAGGTTTGGTTTGATTGAATCTACATGGGGGATAATAAAAAGGTGCAACACTCCTCACACCCCCTAGACTCCCCACTTTAATGTCAAGGTTATAGGTAAATGGACCTTTCCAGTGTTTTACAGTTAGTAAATTGTAATTGTAAATAAGCTAACTGGCTATCCACTTGTTACACTGGGATAATACAGACACTGGTTGACCTGGTTTACACAAAAGAACACATGATTTTGTTTGTGATACTGTTTGTGAGCAGCTGAGTTTTTCATTGCTTAAAACGGCCTGATTTTAGCCAGTATATGTCATGCTTTGAGACAGTATGCTGAACCTTTTTGCAGCTTCTGGTTGGTTTAGCTTTTACAGTATGATTTACCATTATGTTACATCATTATAGGAAGGAATTTTGGATATGCTAAATATGCTACCAAAGAATCAGCTTGTTTAGCTATGGATGTACTTCACGGTCAGTGTGTTGCCGGGCAACGTATGAAAGTTCTGGAAGCCGAGCCTATGAGGAATGAGATAGATGGTATCAAGAGGCAGAGGGTAGAATCACAGTAAAAAAGGTAGGTTTCAGTTTTGAATATTTATATGATTAAGTTGTGTAACAAATTTCTTATAAAATCACCTCTCATTACTCTTACTTACATATTTAACCAATACTATTATTTTTTGTTCTGTCAACAGAAAAGAATCATATATTTCACATTAATATATACAATATTAACAAACACATATTTTGCTCTTGTCACATATAAAGCACATTTTTGTCCTTGTGCACATTTTTCACCAATTATTAGTCCCCTACCGGTTTAACCGGAGAGGACTTGAAGTTTATCCTCTGTTCGTTTGTCTGTAATACTGAATAGGGAAAGGTAGGGTGCCATCTAACTGTAAACAGAACAAAAGAGAATGATAAGAGTTCATTCCGTAACAATAGAGAAAGGGGCCATGGCCCTCTTTTAAACAATAGAAAATAACATGAAATGGCCCCTTATTCCATTTCGGTCAGACATCCGTCTGTCTGTCTGTCAGTCTGTCCACAAAATTCGATCCCGTGATAACGCTTAAAGTACTGAAAATATTTTTATGAAATTTGATATATGGATAGATGGCAGTCTGGAGATTATTCACCTCTTTTTCTTTTCTTCCTATATTGAAAACTTTGGTTGCTATGTCAACAAATAGACTGAAAATATGGCTAATTTAACACATAAATTGGATCCAGTGATAACACAAAAAGTACTGAAAATATTTTTATGAAACTTGAGATATGGGTAGATGGCAGTTTACTTCAAATTCCCACATCATAATAATATGACAAGGGTTATAATCTAGCGTCCGTATTTCCAGAATTATCTCCTCCTTACCCTTTGAATTTTTCTTACTCATTCTTTAATTTTCTTATTTCTCCATGGATTTACTTCAAATTTAAAAAAGAAATTCATTATCAACACCTACTTCATATGTGATTAGATTTATAAGACATGGGTTTCCATGATTATTTTCATTTTGAATTTGAAATTTACTTGAATTTTTCTTTTAATTTTCTTCTTTGTTACTATAAATGATATATTTGAAAATTGTTATTTTTTCACTTTTCTTCTTTGTGACTATAGATGGTATCTTCTTTAATAATTGTTCTTTGTTACACTCACATCATGTATGAGAATGTTCATAAGTCTAGCACCTTTATTTTTTAGAGTCATCTCCTCTTAAGTTTAAGAATTTTGCTTTTAAAAATGTAACATTCTGGTAACAACTAGGGATGTTTAAAGATTTATCCTCAGAGTCTCTGTTGGTTGGTCTGTCTGTCCGTTTCTAAAAACTGTTTCCTGAGATCACTTTTAAAGACATTGGAACTCTTCCAACAAATTTACATAAAATAGAGAAAAGTTGAGAAAATTGGATCTTTTGATTATCTGTTCTATAAACATAACTAGTTAAACTTAACACATTACTATGATACAGACAAACTAAGAACTCAAAAGATTTAAGTTTATTCATGTCATTCATTCAATGGCATAATTTAAAGACCAACCGCCCTTCAGAATGTTGCTGGGGTTCTAACCGATAGGGGACTTATGGATTTCTTGCAATACTATGATAATTGCTTGTTTTATATAAAATACATTATCAAATATATATCTGTCCTTTGAACACAATATATATGTTTGCAAAATTCTCTTACTTACTCACTTATTTGGGCACGAAATTTTGTGGTCTTGTCACAAAGGAAATTTTTGTGGTTTCTTACAATCATGCAACAGATTGGATCTTAAATGTGCACATTGACTTAATCAAAACCACGAAAATTAGTGCCCCATAAATAATGATGATTTTGCAGTACTACATATTAAGCATGTTAAATTATAATCTACCATAAGGTTAACTCTTACCATGCTATCCTTATATCATGGACTTGTCCTGCTCAAAAGTTGCAACTTTTCTACTGTCCATTAGTAGCAGGGGATTTAATTATCAAGAAAGCATATTTTGGCAGCCAGATGTATAAAGCTTGGTACAATTACACTTATTTGTAATCTACCCTGACTGTGTATTGGTATATGTTTGTAGTTAAAGATATCAATGTTGAAATGGTTATGTGAATTTAAACAAAGCAAGTACAGTGTGTAATATGTTCTTTAACTTTTTACCTTGTAACCAGACTGTAAACTTGTTGTTTTTCTCAAATTTTAGTATTTTGGTAATTAAAATCCCAAACAGTGACATTTTTTGTTCCTTTTCCTTAGTCAAGTTGTGCTGAATTAGCAATATATTTCAAAGAAAAACTAACATGATGGTGATAGACAAATGATTACAAAACTTTAGAGTAAATTATAAAAACTATACAATATTAAAAAAAAACGCCCCACTCATTTTATCTTTTTTAAGTTACTAGTTAATTGCAAACAATGCAGACACACGGGTAACTGATTATGTGAAGTAAAGTTGAATATAATAGTGAACAAAATTACTACAAAATGAAAAGTTATTTTGACTCTAACTTGTACACTCAACATTTATGGTCGGATGGGCATAATGTTCCTTTGAAGTTTATAATTGAACGAAAGATTTGCAAACTAAAGCAGGATAGGTCCAATTATACACAAATTTCAAAAGGGTGAAGGTCAAAGATAAACTTTTAATTATTAATGATAATGCTGACACATTATTCTGTAACAGATTGTTTGTGTACATGGCAATATATGAAAAAATGTTTTTTTGGTCACATGGCATCACTGGTTTTCAATGTAGTATTTAAACTTGGTTGCTAGTTTATAACAATAGCATATTTCTTTATTTCAAAAGATTGACTATTTTAATGGCAATTGAACAATTATTGTTAATTATAAATGTCAAGGATTAAGGATAGAATATAAATTAACTGCTTGAAATATTAAAAGACTGCTTCACTCTTTGTATAAATTGAGCAGTGTAAATAATTTCTAACAGATATTTATAGACATTTATGATGGTTAAGGGTGTTATTGATTACTTGCTATGGTGATGTTTATTATAAAATTGAAAACAAATATTACAAAATGGAAAGTTGTTGTAATTATACCTGAACACTCACCATTTACTATTGAATGTGTATAATGGCATTTTAAATATCACATATGTAGAACATCAACCATGTGTAAAACAAAAGGTGACTTTATTCAAGAAATGACATGTTAGTGTCATATAGTGGTTATGACTGTTTTTGCATTTTTCTGGGGTTTTTTTAGCTTTATGTTGTCATGTGATAGAAAGAATCTCACGTTCGTAGTCACTTTCAAATTGCCTAACATTAAATTTGTACCAAAACTATTATAAAAATTGTTTTCAAAACATCATTTTAGACTTGTTTGATATAAGTATATATAAAATGAAAACTGATGTAAGATCGTTTTTATATATAACATGTATTTTGTCGCATATTGTTTTCTACGGTAGAACAAAAAAGCAACCAACAGTTGTTCATGAATTTGTAACAAATACTGCATAAATTGTAGGTGTGACATATAAAAATGCTTATTTAACTGACAAGTAATATATTAATTTCTTCACACTGGGTGAGAATAAAATAATTTACTCATTTCTTGAGACTTGCCTACTTTTGGCTATCACAGTGCCAGTGACATATTGTTCAAGGACATCTGACCTGGATTCTTCTAAAAAGCTGTAATTTGACATGTCAGCCTAAAACACTAAAACAAGTGTAATTTCTTTTCTTTGATTAAAGAATCTAGCCAAATTTATTCATACCATGTGTGGCTAAGGAGTTATTGTTAGTGACTCAGAATTACTGGCCCTTCTCTGTTGTGTGTTAAAAAAAATTGAATTCTATCTGAACATAAGAGGTTCTACTCAGATGCTAACATGTGCCTGCTATGTGAGAAGATCCACCACTAGTGGAGTTGCAAATTTAGCAGTAAATGCTGTGACCTAACCCAAAAATAAGAAGAGAATGTGATAGTCTGTCTATTTTGTTTTTGATGCACCTTAAAACCCAGGTAGATTAATGTCTTTATTTATGACTATAATTATGTAATTGAAATTATTCATCATTTTTTTTACAGTTAAGATGTTTATTTCAGAAACTGGAATGACAGAAAGACAGAACAAAACTTGGCAGAAAGACTTACATACCTATTTGACAAGAGATGGGACATCTATCACTGACTACAGTTGAATTATCATACTGGATTTGACCAGAACATAACACAGTGTTTTGACTGTTTGTGATTGACGATGAAAATCAAAAAAAAATGTTGCAGATTTTTTATGACATGTAACTTACTATGGGTTTGACAGAAAAACATTATTGAACCTAGTAATTAGACATGATTGGTACCAGTATGACATTACTAAATTACATGTACTTTTTCTGACTGATATAACTGATATAATTATGTTGGATGGACAACCAAGTTTTACAACACTTTTACAGGGTTTTTATAGGGCTCTCTGTAATTAAACAACAGGGTCCTGTAAAAGCCCTGGCTGATGCAGAATTAACAGTTGGCTATAATTGTGAAACAAGAAAACACAGTAAAGTCACAAAGAACTGCTTTACTACTGGCTTCTTTGAAATTTACAGTGGACACTGGTTTTACCAAACAGTTATATTGACATTTGTTCATTTTACTTAATGTAACAGAAACACTGACTATTGTTATATTATTCTGACTTTCTAACTTAAAGCTGCTCATTTCCAGAGACATACTTTTTAAAAAAAAAAATTAAGTAAGAAAGTGTTACAAATCCTCTAAGATTTGTGAACAAAGATACTAATATACGCTAGCATAAGGCCCAAATCCAAATGTGTTAAAAACATAATATAAATATTGTGGGGAAAATTCAGTCATAGTTTTGCTTAAACAAGAACTCATTTCTTAAATGCATTTTTCTATGATTTTAAATTTTTGAAATTTCTATTGGTCCTCTGGAGATGTGCCCCATTTAGGTGGGAATGACTTTTTAAAGAAGTTGAATTAAAACATTGACTACCCAAAAGAAAACATGAAAACTTGTACAGACTTTTGCTGTATATACACATTGACAGTTGAATGTTTAGAGCTTAATTCATTTTGGTTATCAGTTATTAAAATTAATGAAGATAACCCAGCTTTAACAGATCTCGGTTTGTGATTTTGTCATATTTGTAGGTCTTTTCTGATGCCATTGACTTCTTAATTAACAAACACTTTGTACAGAAGTTGAACAATTCTGACCACCGACTGTCTGTCATTTGTCCGTTCATCTCTAAAAAAAGTCCTGTAAAGAATGTTTCATGTAAACAAGTGTCAACCTCAGCCAGTCTCACTTACAATGTATAAAGGTTTTTCTTTGTTCAGTAAAATGTAAAATTGCCGTAGTCACAGTGCCTTGTGCAGAAAACCAATACAATTAACAGTCTAGGTAGTATTTCCTTCTATAATTATTTCCTTGATTTATATGGGATGCGTGAAAAGCGTACTGGCTCTAAATAGTAACTCATAAATAAAATTTTCTTTGGGGCCGGGGGAAATCAGTATTGCTTTTGTAAAATGAAACCATGTGAATTTCAAAATATTCAATTGCTCAGTTTCATTTTCCATACACAAAAAAAAAACACCAAAAAAAGATATTTCTTAAAAAAAGGTTTTATTTAAGGGATACTGACTTTTGTCGCATGTAAAGAAAGGAAGTATTGAAAAAATTATGGAAGAAAATTAATACTACCTGGAATGTTATCTTTTTATTGGTTTTCTGCCCGAAGCAGATCACAAAAAGTCATGTAGTATAGGCATGGTAATAATGTGGGCATAATCTTGTGGCAAATTTAATTTTGTAAATAGGAATTTTAAGCATTTCTTTGCATAGATATGTTTTAACTTGGTCCTCATATTCATTTTGTAATTCTTATCATTCATTTCTCGTGTTTCTTATAACATGCCATCTGTATTACGTTCATTATGAGATGTATACATAAACAGTTTCTTTTTCCAGTTTATGTCAAATAATTCTTAAAAATCATTTATGTTTTACTGTTATTGTATAATATTATAGTTAATTATGTTCCTTTGAGTGAAAAGAAAAAAAATCATGTTGTCATATAGTTATTAGTGGTAAATAAAAATTAAAAAAAGAAGTGTATACCTTAAATAACCTTTATAAACTGTTATTATTAGCCATTTGTGATCTTTGAAAAGAGAGTCAGGTAACTTGGTTAATGCAATAATTGCACTGTTAATATGTTTGACCTAACCCATACACTTGAAATGTTTGACAGTTTTCTATTAAATCACTGTCAGGTCACTGAGACATCACTTTAAAATTATAAGCAATGATTTTATGTAGATTGTCAGCAGCTGACAATGAGATATTTAGATTTTCAGCAGTTGGAACAGTTTAACCCGCAGTTTAAGCTATTGCACCATGAGTTATTTAGATAATCTTGAGTTTTGCTAGTTATGTAGTTTACCAGTAGTTAAAGCTTTTGAAGCATAGGTTGAGACATCTGTGGTCAAGTGGTTAAGGTCATTGACTTCAAATCACTTGACCCTCACTGCTGTGGGCTCAAAGCCAGACAGGAACTTTTGATTGGTTCATACGCTAGCTTAAGGCATGTTGATGATTCTATCCAGGTGCTTTTTGTGCCTGAAATAATGCACATAAGGGCACAAGTTTTAAAATTAGGGGTATGTAGATTATCAGCAGTTATTGAAGCTTTTGAACTGTGAGTTATTTAGATTGTCAGCAGTTTAACCTTATAAATCAGGATTATGATTATAATCATTTGAAGCTTTTGAACTGTCGAGTTATTTAGATTAGCAGCAGTTAAACTATTGTATCATAAGTTATGTAGGTAATGGATGCTGGGCTTGTCCATTGAAGAAATTCAGGTTAAGCATTAAAATATTTTTAACAAACTTATGTAAGTCACTTTCATGCCACAATATATATTTTTAAACAAAGTATTTATCAACATCAATGTAGATAAATGGTTACAGTATGTCATACATTATTTTTAAAACACTATAAGGAAATGGAATGCACGTTACAAGTGATTATATCCTGTGATACAGGGAAGATTAGTGACTAATTGATAACGAGTGTGACTGCTTCCTGTCCATCACTTAAGTTTGAATAGGCTACACAAAATGATGTTTTGTTCTTAGCCCTTGGTTACAAGTAACTAGGTTAGATTCTATTTTAATTGTATCATGAATCCATGCTGTCTGATCATGGTCTGCACTGTTTTGTTATTCAGTCAGTACTAATTTTTTTAATTTTCCCTAAAAATGATGAATAGATTGGTTAAGACCAAAGATGGACAAGTCCATTTCAGATATTTTGCTTGTTAAGAGTTAAATCATTAGTGTAATTTTACTAGATATTGAAATATTGTTAAAGACTTGTGATTATCTTTAATGTATATCAACACACATTGGTGACATGACAACCCCAACAGTACAAAGTTTGCAACACAGAAAAACAAGCTAGATGTGTGTATTTCTTCAGTAGAAAATGACCAAATTTATTATCAGTAGAAAAAAATTTATGGTCCTGCATGTTGTATCAACATAAAATGCACTGTTTGCAAATACAGTCAGTGAAATCATCAAATAAGCCTCCAGAAACAGGACGACCAAGACCAGCGTGACAGACGAGACATAGCTTCAAGACCAGAAATAAATGTATGGAATTGACGGACATCCTCTTTTATAGTTTGTTCCATTACCAATATGTACTGGTAATGTCAAAATGACTTCTTATGTTAAGAGTAGTAACACACTCGTACATAAACAAAGTTGTACATTAGTGTGTTTTGTACATAAGAAAAATATAAAAAATTTATAAGCAAATATTTATCTTTTTTATCGTAATCTTTCAAATACAATTCTGCTAGAAAATACATGAAGTTAAATATGTGATACTTAAATATAGAAAAACAACACATGTTTATTTATCTGAAACAATTAACATAACACAAAGTGTAAATTACTGTGGCCTTTTTAAGTAAGTGGTGAAAGTTAGAATGTCAGTTTAATGTTTTTATATACATTTGGATTTTCTTGGAATTTATTAGGGTAAATTTTATAATTCATATAAAATAATGAATATTGATTTCTTACATATATCTATATAATTTGTAAAGCATGATTCTTGCATATGTGAATGTAGATGAAATTTTTTTTCAAGCAGACAAGCATTTTATTACATCTTTACATACATATCCTACCAAAAATAGTGAGTAAATTATCCAGGTTGATGCTTCAACTCGGATTTTACCTGATATGATCAGAAGAGAGTAACTCGGGGGTCTTCACCCAGCAGGAAAGTCTGTCACCATTATACTGTAAACTTGAAAGTGTTAGTATAACTTAAACTGGGAACAAGACAATAAAATCTACTAATACGCTTAAATAATTTAATAATCCCTTGATAGTCTTAAGTGTATGTTAGATATGGGGTCATATTTATGTTTGTTTGTTTTTTTTTTTTGGGGGGGGGGGGATGTTATATCAAGGGTAAATTTCTAAATTTCTGACTTTACCAGCTTGTTATCGTGTGAAAATAAATCTGTTCAATTTTGTAAATTTCATTGGTATTACAATTGTACATTTGTATTTTCATTCCCATTGTAGATCTCCTGTGTATGAAAGATCATTGCCTTGTAAAGAATGAAAGGTTCTTGTACTTTGTTGATGGCAGGAGTTATTGCCCTTGCTGCATTGATACATTGTAAAGCAACACGAGCAGATGAAAATAAGGTAAAATTTCTTCTCAGTATTGACTTTCTGAACAAGTACGAGGGATGATCAAAAATTAACCGGACTTTGTAGATGATTCTTTACCTGTTAAATGCATTTACATAAAACTACACGGACAATTATTTTGATTCTATCCCCTAAATGATACAAAAAATAACAACAAGAAATATTAACAAATAAAAAAGTTATGCTGATTTTTCCATGTACATGTAAAGCAATGCGGCGCACGTTTTAACTTTAAAATCGACGTTAACGACGTCACAAGCATATTGTTTTTTGCGGCGCAGCTTTATACTCATTCTCGAAGAAGGCCAATACATGCTTCACATGTTGTTGATGGCGGCAGATCCACTGCCTTTATATATGTCCAGATAAGTCGGTATCATATTGTATTGTTATTGAACGAATGATGTTAAAGAGCTCCAGTAATGACAAGAAAATCCGTTCTTTCATTCTGTAACTTGATTGGTGGACAAATCGCACATTCAATGAACTATATTATGTATTGCATTAATTTTATGTGGCTGAATGATAATGTATCATACATACGAGAAAATTAAAGAATAATACAACTAAAAACAATATGGTCGTTATTTTTAAATAAATAAAACGCATGGCCGATTTAGAACCGTGACTGTTAAATTGTTGGCACATTTTCTCTATAAGACTACAATTTATTAATTCAACTGTAAACTAAGAATGTAATATATATGTAATTAATGAATAAACAATTAAAAAATCCTTAGTTAGAGTTGACAGAACGGTCCTGTAACTACTGTCGAACATCGTTAACAATGTCCGCAGTCAATTGACTGTCATTTTTCAACGTCCCGGCAAATGACGTGACTAACGTTCTTGAAAATTTCTTCTTTCTGTCTCACCCTTACTTGTTTCTCACTTCTATATTACCCTTTCTTATTGTTAATGTTATTTAAAAACTATGTTGTGGCTTTCTGCAACTTTTCCCTTGATAGCTATAATCTTTTTTCTATGTTTTAAACAGTTTCTCTCCTTACTTTTGACAAACTGTTCTTCTGGACCGATTTTCGAGACGTTCCGACGACGTAGTTTTAACGCGAGTATTTCGTTAACAAGTGACGTTTGAATTGTGATTTCAAATATAAATATGGTTTAAATGAAATCATTTTTTTCTGACAACGTCAAGGATATAGCTCATGACGTTTTGGCGTGTTTTCGAAATCTAAATGTGCCAAATTGTAAAATATACGCATTATAAAGCACCCGATGTAAGCGTAAATTAGTGCACTGCGCCGCATGTGCGTTACCATGGTTTTTAAATACGCTGCTACGGACAAGGTATTTGCGTTATCAGATTAGATATAGCATCAGTTTACAGGTATTGTTTTCCGATTAAGTGTGATATATCACATTAAATGACATGTTGAAAATTCTTGAATTGACAGTCCAAGTCCAGTTTATTTTTGATCATCCCTCGTAGCAATATTGACTTCTCTTAAGGACCATTATGCAATTGCACCTGAATCTACATGAATTTTGATTTTGAAATTAAATTAATCTGTCAATGGAATTGTCCAGATTAAAACAAAGAGTTATTTCATTGCACATAGGTTAAAGTTAATACAGATAGAGTGCACTTAACCTGTATGTGCTTGTGCACATGTGCAAAGTTGACAAGTTCAATCAAGAAGGGGAGGGTTGGCCTAATGGTTAAGATGTCTGCCTCTCAACCCAGGGATCATGGGTTAGAGCCATACTCGGGTCATGACCATAATGGATTTAAAAAAAAAACTTGCACAAACTTGTTTCGCAATCAAGCTTAAATAGATATATTTAAACCAAGAAGGGGTTAATGTAGGGATAGCAGATAAGTAATTGAACAATAAACAAAAATGAAAATCCTTACAAATATTCACCTTATTAAAAGTTGAGTTATGATATATTCTAAAATATTTGTTGTTTGAACTCTGTGTTAAAACACAGCGCATTATTCAGAGTGAGATAGAATCTCTTACCTTTTTATGTTGTGTAACTGCTAGTACTTATTGTAATGTTTATAATACTGCACTTTGTAACGTCATTTTTCATTGGATAATCGTGACGTTTATATAGTTTTATATACACGGCTGATGTCGATTCATGAAGAAATCTTACTCTTATTCTCTAAAAATGATGCTTGCTGTATTATAAATTCGTTATAAAGATTGATGACAGGTTATATGGCCGTATATAAACGGCTGTTTGCAATATAACCCTCGCCTAACGGCTCGGGTTATATTTACAAATAACCGTTTATATAGGGCCATATAACCTGTCAACGATCTTTATAACTAATAATATGCATGTATTATAGAAATGAAACTTTTACAAACATCGTTTTTCCTTTCAGAAAGTTTGTGTGTATCTAGACCAGCAGTTTAATGTTGGAGATTTGGTGACTGGTAACCAATGTGACAGGTGTTTCTGTACACAATATGGCATCATGTGTGAGATGATTAAATGTGAAGTGCCCCAGTGTCTCGACGCAGTGATGGGTGAATGTTGCATGGAATGTCCTAATGGTATAAAATATTACATTCATTTGATTGCTTCTGACTCTGAATTATTTTCCCTTTACTGCGTGGGTACAAATTCTTTACCATCTATGGTTCCAAATTCTGTACAGGACAAGATTTGATCAGAGCAGCGAATGGAATGTAATTTGTGTAACAGGAAGGGATGTTGAAATCTTTTGTGAAAGGAAGATACTCTACCATGTTAAAAAAAGTTGGTGGTTTTATCCAGGTATCTGTTTGTGATTGTGATAGTGTAACAAGATGGATCTAGTGTTCTCAATTTTCTAGTATATAGTCCAAACATTGTATGGTCTTTAAGGACGGTCACCAGCTTTTTGTGTAATTTTAAAAAAAGTATGAAAGAAGAGACAAAAAGAGTATACTGCTATATATGTGCTGTCTGAAATTGGTATAATGAATATTTATAATGTGATAAGAATTCATCAATGAAATATTTTGTGAATAAAAGTTTTCTTCTCTTTTGCATATAATCATACACGTAGTTGTAAAATAAATGTGACACACTTTATTAAAATGTTTTGAATATGTTTGAATTTTTTTTAATGTACAAAATATGAATCTATACTTATTTTGTATTTCAGGACGCAACTGTTTGCATGAAGGTGAGAATATGACAGTTATTGTTCCAGAGACAGGCTGTTTGTATAGTGATGGTGATGTGTGTCAGTGTGATTTTGAGGACAACATAAAAGAAGGGATGACCAGATGTTTACCAGGAGGTGACGCTCCGTTGTGCAAGCCTTACTTGCCGTAAAAGAACATATATTCCACAAATGTTATTACAGCATAATTATTTCTTGATGTAAATTACTATTTATGTAATGGAATGCCAAACAGTTTTCTTGAAAAATTTGTTTTTTATTAAAAGGAGTGCCAATTTAATTTGCTGCGAATTAGGTCTTCTTGCACCAGTAAAGCTGAAAAAATCGCCATATTACCTATACAGTAATTTGTTAATGCATCACGTGTGCAACTTTTCATGTGTGAGGAATGATTGATAATTTTATACTTGAATTCAATTTTTATGAAAAGCTTACTCTTTATGATTTTTTTTTTATATAAAGGAATGCTGTGGAATATAATTGGTGAATTTCATTTTTAAGAAAACAAATGTTTAATTATTTTTGATAGCAATAGGTTATACAAGAACTAAAAATAAATAAGTTGCATGTAAGAAACTTGATTCAAAAAATGGCATTTTGTAGTTCATGTAAATATATTTACCATCACATTGTATGAATAAAACTGATAAAGCAAGTTAGTTACATATTTGTTTCTTTCTTAGCCATTACCCTGCAGAAACCAAAGTGTGTAGTGACACAACCAGTATAAGATATACAAGCCTGCACTACCAAACAGGCACTATACTGGTGGTCTAACCAACTTCAAATTTCGTGTAGATATTATACCCAAAATTGATGATGAACAGTTCTAAACAATGTAACCTTGGCAATTCTATTTTAGAAATTCAGCATGTAAATAAGGGTTAAACACTGGTCTGTATAAAGTTATATGCATCAATTACAGCTCCTTATTTAATTAACATTGATATAATTTGCTTATTTTTCTATCATTTTCTAGTCCACTGTATTGATGTGTTGCAGATTTCATTTTTACTTCATTTCATATTTCAAACACATACTGTGAAAGTAATGGAATACAGCAGATGGTTTTCTATGTTATGCATTTTTAAACTCATTTATAAGCCACTACATCGTTTAAAATCATGAATGCTCTGTAAGGTATCATGATATCCTCAAAGCAATGAATTAAAAGATTTTAGCAGTTCTGTTTACATGTAATGTTTTTTTACAATAGTCCTAGAATATAGTAACTATGTGATATCACTAGGCAATGGTATGATAGTTCCAGTGAAAATGTTAACTATCATTTGATTGTCTTAGACAAACTATTTTAAATCTAAACCTCACCAAAAAAACGATTTAATTGAACACCATTTGCTAATGGACTTCTACACAACTACCAAACCTGTATTAGACTAGTCTAAAAGAAATAGTATTGTATTCAACAATGTATAATGACTTCTTTATTTCACACCACCAAATTTTAACTGATCTTTGATGGAGTATAATACAGATTTGATAATGGATTTTTTTTACTCAGGAAATTAAAAGGCCAGACGAAAAACAAAAAATGGACACGAACTTAAGGCTAGGTTGAGTACATTATTGACGATATAGATATTTTGGACTCTGGAAATGATTACAAGGCTAAATGGATATAATTTTTATTTGAACATCAGCTTATGCCGGAAGTTTTAAATAAAAAGTTTTGTAAAACTAGACTCTCATTTCTGCATGCGTTAATTGAATCAGTTGCAAAGCAAAAGTTCTGAGAAAGACATCAAATTACTGTCCGGACGTATGTTCAAGTTTAAAATTGTGTAAACAATATAGGGTCTACATCATGACTACTACCTTGAAAGAATATATCGTTCACAATCCCATTTCACCACCTGAATAAATCGCATAATATAACTCATGCAGAGTTTTGTGATTCTATGCACGATTGTCACGTGTTCATGTTATATGAATATTGCACGATATCTGCCAAGTGTAAAAGTTACACAGCATCTGGAACAACGATACAGTGCGACGCACCGCCAGCAACATTTGCCTCCTCCATCCCGAACTGTATGTCGTTTTCAACTTCTTCGAAGTCCTGGATTTTACCTTTAAAGTTTCCAATCGACTTGCTCTGAAAATGATATAACCATTTTAAGACGGGCTAAAGATAACTTTTATGTAGAACTCGTGTTAAAATACGGATAACATTTTACATATGTACATATAATGTTCTTTCTGGCCACCTTTCTTATAATTTCTTCATTTTTTTACGCAAACTTTTAAAATCTTGAATGACGATTAAAGAGAATTCATATTGAAACAAATTTATGAAAAAATATGAGGATGTTTATCCGGCTGCTATATTATGAGCTATCTGCTGTAGAAAACATCTAAAGGAGAGATAGAAAATCATTCAGGGGCAGGTAACTCAAAAAGTAAGATGCTTACAGATCTTTCTTGTAGATGCGGGTCCTCACCAAGGGTTATTGGTGGAAATATTTGTACATCTGACCGGTATCTATCGTCGAAGGCTTCAAGTACGCCGTCCACCTTCAAACCTGTCCTGTGTACACGTTCTGTGGTGCCGTTAGCCTTCCTCCTCTCAGTATCGATGTTACGGTAAAATTCCACCTGAAATTATGCGCAATTTGAAGCTAAGATTTGTGTTCATTGCATGAATTACTCAAGCAAAAAATTATGTACAGAAAAAAATAAGTATTTTTGACCTGAAATTGTGCGTAATTTGAATGAATTCTTCCGCTTGAACAGAAGTCGTACTGTTCAAAATCAAGCACAATTTCAATGAAAATGTCACCTTAACTGTGATCAATAAGTTTAATGAATAATTCCAGCTAAAGTTATGTACATTTAATGTTTAATTAAATCAAAAATGTTAAATGAACGTTAAATTTCTACTTGCTGATGCACTCATTACATTTAATGAATAATTTCACATGAAACTTTTTTTTTACATTTTTAACGAAAAATTATGACTGTAAAAGTAGTAATATATGAAACGATTTATATAAAGATTAATTTGATCTGAAAAAAAATGTACCATTGTTGAATAAATAAAGTGTATATTTGATAAACAATTTCACCTAAAATGATGTATTGCTAATTGACATATTCGCAAATCAAATGCATTCATAGTTTTTATGGTAAATATGATGTACTCCATTCATGTGTATGATGCCTTATAAATGATAACACATTTAATGTTAATTGGATTTTACACGAATTTTCTTAAAAGTTTAATGAATTTCTGACTTAATTTCATGTAGAGATTAATTATCTATTTATAACATTATGTATTTTCTTAACAGTTAATCGACACACAACTAATTAACATTTCATTTTCTTTACCTGGTGCCATTGTCCATCATTCACTCGCTTCTTACTTTTCCCATGGAAACCAAACGATGTCCCGTGGCTGTTCCTGGGTGGATTGAACAAAAAGTAGTGCAAATATCCATCGCGCATGAATAAGCCTTCAAAGTCATACGTATCAGTACGATGATAACTACCTTCCGCATAAAAAAGTATCCCAGAGTCGGCAACAGTACGGAACGACAGTTTGAAATGTGCACTGTAAAAATAATGGAGAAAACAACAGCTATTAATAATACAAACCACGAAGACATCTACATGTTCATTATTCATCACATGTAGTTGAAAATCACGCCTTATGTCTTCTCTTAGAAACGACAAATTGCAACTAGTTAGAAATTATTGAATGTCAACATTATAAGGCTCATCTTGAATGTCAGTTAAAATTACATTTGGGCGTTGCATTACTTTAGGATTTAAAAGACAATTTTAAGGAAGCATATCAGTCCATTGAAACCCGCAACATCCGTGGGGTAGATCGGGATTTATTTTTATTATTATTATAATCATCATTTTTATCTTTTTTTTATTATTTTATTTTTATTCATTTTTTCCATCTTATTATTATTTTAGGGGTGGTGGTGGCTGAAGCCAAAAAAGTTGGTTTTACATGGTGTTTCCAACTTTTAGTGAAGAAGGCACAGGGACTCCACAGTGTTGGGATAGTATACAAAGTAATTCAAGAAAAAAATACAGAATACATTTTTTTCCAGAATTACACTATCCCAAACACTGTGTTTAGTGCTGTGGAAGAAGGGGCATTCACCAATAATTCATTACCTTAACTTTCCAACATCAAAGCTGGGTCCTGGTCTAGATTCAATTAACGTAATAGTCCCCGCTATTATTACATGGATTGGGTATTTTGTTGCAATTGACTAATGCATAGATTCTTATAACGAATCAACAAATCAATGATATGCATGTACAAATTATCAACCACTACATCAGTCTTTATATATTATGAAATCTTGAATCGTATAAGTGAATATTAAAAATATTCACCTTGTACTAATTGTAATTTCCTGCGGAAAAACAACTCTTCCTTCTCCGTTAAACTGGTAACAGGCCCCTGCCGATGTACTTGTTACCTGAAAATATTATATATGTGCTAATAATTAAGTTCTATGTTTTTGTTTATGTATGTATGTTTGTTTGTTTGTTTCATATTACGCCTTTTCCCAACAATATTTCAGTCATATAGGCGGGTAGTTTCCTAACCATCGTTCCTGGAGAGTTACACCAGTACTAGACTACCTTCCTCCGTGCTAAACTACCAAAGCATCTCCCGGGGATCGAACCCACGCCAGAGAGGTATGTATGTATGTATGTGCGTGGTAGGTACGTATTTTTCCATTGTAAGACAGAAAGTTAAGCCTTGTCATTAAAAATTTGCTTCGCTTTGATCACAGGCGGCAGTATCAGTGTTTGGACACCCCACCCCTATCTGCCCCTGGAGCCCTACTAAAAAAATAATTCAACACTCTAAGGCTTACTATAAGGTACCAAATACAAAACCACCGATGAAATTATATATAAAAAAAAAATTCCACTATCAAAATTATAGTTATAGTAAGCCTTAGAGTGTTGAATTATTTTTTTTCAGGGTTGTAGTAGGGGTCCAGGGGCAGATAGGGGTGGGGTGTCCAAACACTGATACTGCCGCCTGTGGCTTTGATATTGTATCTATGCTTGCCTTTCAAGATTCAATTACAAATTTAAACTAAAAAACATCATGTACAAATAAAGATAGTCCCAAGGAAAGCAAGGGAGATAACCATACTGCGTATTTAGGGCAGTAAGTGTTTGTTTATTTTTTTTCCCAAGTATACTTATGATAACATAATGTTAAAGGAAAATGCAAAGAAAAAGAATTCACACAAATAAGTCATCAAGATTTAAATTACAGATCTTTATAGTCGTGCAAACAGTATATTTTCATCCTTTATTCTTTTTCCAGAGAAGTTTGGGCTACATATACAATAATCCATTGTTTATATTTGTTAAATCTTTTCCCATCATTTTTCTTGTGAATATAAAGATTTCAAAGATACTTTTGTTGTATTAAATGAACTAATACAAGAATAATAAATGTTATAAACTATTTTAGGTATAAAAAACTAGAGATAGTATCTTACCAGTGAAAATAGCCCAACAACAACCGCAAATAACCTTAGGGAATCCATTTTGAATAGATAATATGTAAACAGGCTGGGCTTATCAACATTATCTGCATAGGAAATCTAGGTTAATGTTTTGTGCGTGCGTTCTACTATTCTGTGAATGTTTACAGGTATGAACCATGCTGTGCATTCGAAGGTCAAACTGTTTAAAAAAAAACAAATAAAGGATATGAAAAAAAAACCGAAATATATATATAAATCTGTCAATTCTTGACATTATTTTAATATATGTGGGAAACAATATGACTTATTATAAAATTAAATATCTTTAAATCTATAGTTTAAGATTCCGTTTTATATTATTCCGTTGCGCGTCATATGGCATCTTGTGCGTATCTTCGATCGATTCCTCAAGGAAAGTAAAACTGAAATACAATATGTTTGCTTAAAGTATATAAACAACAATTTGAAGACCTATTTAACAACACATTCATCCCATTAATGAGCATATTTTATAACTTTTCTCATAACCATGAATTTACAAACAAGTATATGTTTTAAGATTTATATGCATTTACATTACGTTTTTTTTTTGTGGTGTAAATATATTATTAGTTATAAAGATTTTTGACAGATTATATGGCCCTATATAAACGGTTGTTTGTAAATATAACACGAGCCGCTAGGCGAGGGTTATATTGCAAAGAACCGTTTATATACGGCCATATAACCTGTCAGAAATATTTATAACGAATTTATAATATTAATACAGCAAGCATCAGTTTTAGAGGAATAAAGCGAGTTTTTTTTATTAATCGACAGCAACTATAAACGTCACGATTATCCAATGAAAAGCGACGTTACAAACGTGCAGTACGTGTTATAAAAAAAACTATATAAACGTCATGTTTATCCAATGAAAAGTGACGTTACAACTTGCAGTATTATAAATCATATTATTTAATGTTGAAGAGCGAACGCCAGTAAGTAAGTAAGTATTTAATGTTGAAAAACATGTATAAATATACTACATCTAAAACACCATATAAACTGCACAATTCATATGTAATAAATAAAGTTCTGTTATGTTCTATAATCAACAAGCATTGAAAAAATAACATTTGGAAGATAACAAATACTTAAGAAATCGGACAAAAACACGTGCATTCTTTAAAAATTGGAATATAGTCAACCATAATATATAAATATCAAAATAACTTCCCAAATATGACCAACTTTTGGCCTGTGTCCACTATAACAATATATTGCTTAATCATTCCCCTGTTTCATTGTGAATGGACTTAAAACAAATGTTGTGTAATGGCTAGCTGCACATGCAATATGTTTAAGAAGATGTAAAAACTTAAGGATAAAATTATACAATTTAATTTTAAAGGAACTCCACTGAGGTCCCAAAACACGACACTATAAATTCTTACATTGATGGACTGGGGCACTTAAACGAAAACTGGTTATGCAAAAAATAATAAAGATATTTACTCATAATTGAATTAAAAATGTATTTTTGTGCTTATTTTTAGACCGATATAAGTTTTAAAAAAGTTTTAATGGATTAATAAATCTCGAGAATAAAAAAAAAAAGATATTTAAATTTAATTTAGTTCTGCTCGGTGGATTCCCTTAAATAAGCGGTGTGCTGCAACGCACGAATGTAAATCTGTGTACAATACTGTTATTCTGTCCCAATTAATTACAAGTTTGGTTTCTATTTTATTCAATTCTATCCCCAAAAAAAATATAGTGTTGAGGGAAAGAAATAGAAGTTTACTCAGTAAATCATTAAATGCCTTTCAAAGATTTTTTTTACAACGCAAACGTTTGTATAAAAGAGAAGAAAATATATAATGCTTCAAAGTAAGGTAAAACTACTATTTAAAGCAGTGAAATGAACTTTTTAAACCAGAAGTCTCTGAGGACGATATCGACGGTATATTTACTTCGGAAGAAATTTACTCATTTTCAACAAAACGCTTGCTCCCGCCAAAAATATTGCTGTTTTGTTGTCTACCCATTAAAAAACAAGATAAAGCTATGGCTCACGAATTTCAAAAACTAAGAGTGAATGCATCGATGTTGCCAAGTTTTCAGGGCAAAGAAGTCGCAGTTCTCGGAATGGCTAAAGATGTAAGAAGTTACATACATATATATTATGTAATGAGTTTTCGCGATACTGAGTAGAACCGGTATAGATGGATACCGAAAATAAGCTATTTTCGCGAAAATAAGATCGCGGCTACGAAAATAAGATTTATTTTTGAAATAGTGCATTTATCTGTTGAAATAATTATGTAAAATATATATTTATGCATTCATTGAATGATTTTACAGCAAATTAAAATTTCAGAACCAAAAAAATATTTAAAAAGTGAAGTTTGAGCCGAAAATACTATCGTACGAAAATAGCTTATAGCGAAAATAAGATCGGGTCTACGAAAATAAGATTTATTTTTGATAAAATGTATTGAAAACGTATTTTTGTTGTTATTAAATGATTTGTATGAATGAAATAATAAAGAATGAAGTATTTTGTAATGAAATATTAGACGTATGTGCGGCATATATGGTAATTTCCCAAATAGTATAGAAAGAAGGCATGCGAAAATAACCCAAGATGGCGATTACGAAAATAAGATCATATAACTTATGAAATTGTATTACTTGCAAATAAGATTGTAAAAATTTAATTAAATTTTTCTCTTATAAGACAAGAAAAGGTAGTGGTGAAAAAGTATCAAAATAAAAGCAAGAATTAGCTACCGTGCGCAAATAACCAGAAACAACGACTACAAGAATAAGATCTACTGCATATAGAATATGTACGAAAATAAAATCTGTACTGTACTGTACTCTACGAAAATAAGATCCGTAAGTATGAAAATTATGTACATACGAAAATAAGACCTGTTAGTAAATAATACCTGTATGAAAATATTATATTTTTAACATTTTTTTTTTTTTAACATAAATTTTTTTATTTAACATAAAATTGTAAACATACAATTTATAGTCAAATCTTATTCTGTATAGTGTATGAAAATAATATATGTATGAAAATACTACATGTACGAAAATAAGACCCAATTAACTAAATTTATATGTACGAAAATAAGATCTGTAAAAACAATTACTGCATGAATTGATATATCTGCACAAAAATAAGATCTACTCGTATACGAAAATAAGATCTCTGCAAAAATAAAATCTGTATGAAAATTATGTTTTCGACTAAGATTTTTACAAATCTTTTTATAAGATCTATGAATATGAAATTGGATGAAAATAATATCCTTACGAAAATAAGATATATACGAAAATAATACAAATGTATTAGTATGAACATAATACCATAACTAAAATAAGATCTATACGAAAATAAACAAATGTATTAGTATGAACATAATATCTGTTTCAGAATGAAAAAGAGATCAAAATCATCCTGTAAACAATAAGATATCTATATGAAAATAAGATATCAATATGGAAATGACTTTTACCAATACAAAAGATAATTGAAAATACGTGTAGATTCTAATATGAAAATAATATCTATATTAAGTAAAAGAAAAGTATATAACTTTATTGCTTTAAGTGCTTTAATTAGATAATGCATAAATGAGATATTTCTATTTGAGAGAAGGAAAAAAATAATACAACGTATAACACGTGCACATGACTGTCGGCAGCAATCAATGCGCTAATACGATGATTGGATTATTGGATTTTCGCACTTATCGTAATTGACACACACTTATTAAAGCCCATCATTAAAGGTGTTTATTGGCGATTTATCATAGTCACCAATCATATCAATTTTTCATATAGATATCTTATTTTTTTACAGATTTTTTACAGATTTTGTTATCAAAAAGATATATTTTGACACAGATCTTATTTTCGTTAAAGATCTTATTTTATAAAGACATTATTTCATATATAGAGTCGTTTTTCATATCATTCTGATAGAGATATTATTATCATACAAATATTGTTTTCGTATAAATCTTATTCCCATACAGACATTATTTTCGTACAGATCTTAATTATTTTCGTATAAATCTCATTTTCACAAGGATATTATTTTCATACAGCTTTTATTTTCACAGATCTTAAGTTATTTCCGTATAAATCTTATTTTCACAAGGATATTATTTTCATACAGCTTTTATTTTCACAGATCTTAAGTTATTACCGTAGTAAATCATAATAAAAAACAGACATTATTACATACAGATCTTATATATTTTCATATAGATCTTATATTCATGCGTATTATTTTCTAACAGATCTTATTTTTTTCCGTATAGATCACATTTTCTAAAGGATCTTATTTTCGTATATATAGTATTTTCATACAGGTATTATTTTTTACATACATGTATATTATTTTCATATGTATCTTATTCTCGTAAGGATATTATTTTCATGCAACTTTCATTTTCACAGATCTTACATTTGTAAAAATCTTAGTCGAATACAGACAAAATTTTCATACAGATCTTATTTTCGTATAGTTTTATTTTCAATAGCATCTTATTTTCGTACAATAGTATTTCCATACAGATCATATTCTCAATTATTTTTGTACGAATATCAATTCATACAGGTTTTGACTTTGAACTGTTTACAGATCTTATTTTCGTACTTGTAGTACTTTCATAAATAAAATACATTTTCATACAGGTATTAACTATTTACAGCAAGATCTTATTTTGGTATGTATACCTTTTTTCGTATGAACATTATTTTCATACAGCTTTTATTTCTTTACATATTTTATTTTCGTAGAGTACTGTTATGATTTTAGTTTCGTACGGTACAAATTCTTATATAGATCTAGATCTTATTTTCGTAATTGTTTTTGCAATAGTTCTTTTTTTTTTATTTTGATACTTTTTCACCACAAACATTTCTTGTCTTATAAGAGAATTTTTCAGTCTTAAAACTTATTTGCAAAATCATTAAAAGTAAAGTTAATATTTTTTTAGTATAAGTTATGAACCATGTAAATCTTATATATATTTTCGTAGATGCCATCTTGAGATGTTCATGCGTTCTTACTATACTAAATTTGGAATATTTACCATATTTGCCGCACAAACGTCTAATATTTCATTACAAAACATTTTATTCTTTATTATTTCATTCAAACAAATCATTTATAACAGCAAAAATACGTTTTCAATACATTTTATCAAAAATAAATCTTATTTTCGTAGACCCGGTCGTATTTTCGATTTACACGGCAATTCAAGCTATTTTCATACGATAGTATTTTCGGCTCAAACTTCACTTTTTTAAAAATATATTTTTAATTCTGAAATTTATTATTTCATTCATACAAATCAATTATTAAGAAACAAAAATACGATTTTAATACATTATATCAAAAAATAAATCTTATTTTCGTAGACCCGATCTTATTTTCGCTTTACACGGCAATTTGAGCTATTTTCGTACGATAGTATTTTCGGCTCAAACTTCACTTTTTTAAATATTTTTTTGGTTCTGAAATTTTAATTTGATGTAAAATCATTCAATGAATGCATAAATATATATTTTACATAATCATTTCAACAGATAAATGCACTATTTCAAAAATAAATCTTATTTTCGTAGCCACGATCTTATTTTCGCGAAAATAGCTTATTTTCGGTATCCATCTATACCCGAGTAGAACTATTGAAATGTATTGGGACCTTATTTAGAATACAACTGTTGAATGCATAAGTAAGTTAATACAAATTTATTTTAGTTCGATTGTGTTGGAACCTAAGGCTCATATCGAAACACTCGATCCCGTTCATGGAAAAAATGAGTAAAGTTTCTTGCTTAAGGAAACGACGACATGTCCCTGAAGCTGTGTCTATTCTAGCAAGGGGATTTACCCCTATTTTTGAGAATTCATCCCAATTTTTTTGAGAGGAAGGGGGAAAATTTTACATAGACAAAGAAGGAAAAAAATCAACAAATGTAATAAATTCTCACTTTTCGTTAAAAATCCCCCGTTTTTCGAATCCTAGAATAGACACATGTGAACTTAGAACTCGCACGGTCAGCTGTCCTTAAATAACCGGTCTTATGCATTAACCACAAGGCCATGGCTCCACTTGTTAATTGATTAATTTGATTTCCTAATCCAACCATTTTTATGCCACCGCAGCATCTGCGATGCGGTGGCATATAGCGATTCACCTGTGTGTGCGTGTGTGTGTGTGTTTGTTTGTGTGTGTGTGTGTTATATAGATTATATAGTGAACTTAAAAAATCTTCTTGTGAAAAACCACTTGTCCAATTTCAACCAAACTTGGCAGGATTGATCCTTGGGTGAAGGGCTTCCAAAGTTGTTCAAAGAATTTATTTCCATGCAGAAATCTGGTTGCCATGGCAACCAAAAGGAATTATAAGAATAAATTTAAAAAATCTTCTTGTAAAGACCCAAAAGGCCTAGAGCTTAGATATTTTGCATAAGGCATTGTATGGTAGACCTCTACCAAGATTGTTCAAATTATAGCCCTGGGGTCAAAATCGGCCCCGCCCCAGGGGTCATTGATTTTCACTATATGTACATATAGTAAAAACTTAAAATACCTTTTTGTAAAGACCCAAAAGGCCTAGAGCTTTGATATTTTGCATAAGGCATTGTCTGGTAGACCTCTACCAATATGGTTCAAATTATAGCCCTGGGGTCAAAATCAGCCCTGCCCCGGGGGTCATGGATTTTAACTATATGTACATATAGTAAAAATTTAAAATACCTTCTTGTAAAGACCCAAAAGGCCTAGAGCTTTGATATTTTGCATAAGTCATTGTCTGGTAGACCTCTTACAGATTGTTCAAATTATAGCCCTTGGGTCAAAATCGGCCCGGCCCGGGGGTCATTGATTTTCCTCATATTTACATAGTAAAAACTTATAGTCAAAACTTATAGTAAAAACTTTAAAAACATTTCTTCTAGCAATTGACAAATGCTAGAGGTTAGATACTTTGCATGAAACATTGTGAAGTGAACCTCTAGCAAGAATGTTCAAATAATAGCCCTGGGGTCATTGATTTTCAAAATATACATATAGAAAAAATTCAAAAAAATCTTATTGTCTGAAGGTACAAGGCTTAGAGCTTTAATATTTGTTAAATGATATCATTTATAGGTACTCAACCAAAGTTGTTCAAATTTTGCATCCAGTGTCAAAATTAAAAGTGAACTTTGATATCAGCTGACCTAGATTTTGACAAAGTGTATTACATGTTGTCCTTTGATGCAGTCATGAAATTTTAGGCTGTGTGAAATATGACCTTCACCACCAAATTCACTAGACTCAAGTGCATTGAAATATTCCTACTCTGATCTTTTATTGAGTTAACAGTAGATTTAACCACTAATCTGATAATAAGAATTAGATATGCATTATGACAATCTTCAATTGTACTAAGTATAGAAACAAAAAAAATCTGTTCCTACACTACTATTTAGTGTTGTATTAATGCGGTGGCATAGCATTTTTCTCAAATGCAATCTTGTTTTGAGACTTGAATATATACAGACGAAACTAAAAAAATCTGAAAACATTAACAAAATTTTGTGCAGAAGGTAAGAATGTTAGTCAGGATAAAAGCAGTATCAATTATGTGATGTAATTTTGGATGGAACATTAATGCTTAGAGGTGCAACAATATGTTTCAATGCATTGAAAACTGGTTTATTTCATAATTTGGGGCCAATTCCATCCCGATATCAAATATAAGATTTTTGATTTGATTCACAACCAAGAATTAACACGAAAACAATCCTAGTTTTAGTCCCTCTCTAACAAGTATACCACTTTATCACAAGAAACATGATTGGTTTATTAAACTCAGTCATCCAATCAGTGAGTGCGTAATGGTGTTCAAACGACGATGTAGAAAAAATAAATCTGAAACTCCAACAAAACTTAAATTTTTAAAAGGTGTGGGAACTGAAACAAAGTAACATGTAAGATATGCTTTGCTGGCGTGTCATGTCCAAAGTCGCTAAGTACAATTAACTTCATGCAACCATGGCTTCAATAACAAGCGGTGGTGCAACACATGAAAGGAAAGAAGTATACTGATGTTGGTGTGCTTAAAAAGCCTAGTTTTAGTTTGAGAAAAAGTCTGATTTATAAGATTACTAGTCACATTATTGTGTTAGATTGTTTGATTAGAATTACTATCTAAATAATTTGAAATAAACCACTTTTTAGTTTCATAACACTGCTACTAATAATAAGGGAAAAAATAAGTTGTTACAACTAAAAAAATAAAAATAATAAAAAAAAATTGTCAAGGGCTACTGACTTTTACAGCAAAGCAGATTGTCAACTAAAGACTAAATAGTTATCACACATGAATCGAATCGAAAGAATTGAATTGGGGTGTCTGAAATCGAAATCAAATCAAACTTTTGGTGTTTCGTTGCAGCCCTAGTAGTTTACCTTATGGATCATGGCTGTAAGCCACATTGAATTTACTAGAGCACAATTTCAGCCACATTTCCTGGGCAAGCAGTTTACCAGTACTAGTTACCTTCACTTTCACAAGGAACTGATAACTTCTGTACATGCCAGAGCAGAGGTACATTGCAAATGACAGTAGCAAAGATTTCAACAAGAGTGATCTGCATTGTCCAGGAATTGATCTGAGTTGGCATTTTTTGTACACGTAAATGTTATGTTTAAAGGTTCTACATAGGTTAAATGACCATATATAAATGGTTGTTAGCAATATATTATCTGAGGCGCTATGCAAACAACTATTTGTGTAGGACTATGTAACTTGTTAAAAATCTTTATTACTTTAAAAGTATTTTAAACACTTTACTGTATAAGTGAAATGGAGCATGTTAATTAAGTTTCAGTAGGGGAACAGGTAGTGAAATAAAGATACATGTATAAGTTTCAAATTAGCAATGCTTGTAAATTCCAAGCTAACTGAAATTTTGAATGTAAGAAGCCATTCTGGAAATTTAAATCAGGCTTTTGATCAGCAGAAATTGTCTGCTATTCTCTTAGAAACTGAACAGTCTACATCATTCCTGACAGCAGCCGATACCAGTTTCAAGATGTTTAATTGATTTATTTGTATATTTCAGGTGGACAGCAATGGAACATCTTTTACTCTAACAACATGTGATGGAAGTGATATCAGAATATTAATGCAAGAACCTGTAAGTGACTTTATATCCTGCTTGGATAGCAAAAGCTGATACATCTACTGATGAAGCATGTTAAGAATTTCTTTCAATGGACCTTTCAAATTTTTAGCAGTGAAAAATTTAGGCCCGTCTTTCTGTTAATTGCAGGGCGTCCGTGGCCGAGTGGTTAAGGTTGTTGACTTAAAACCACTTGCCCCTCGCCGCTGTGGGTTTGAATCCCGACAGGGACTTTGGATTCTTTCATGTGAGGAAGCTATCCAGCTAGCTTATGGAACATCGGTGGTTCATCAGGTGCCCGTTTGTGCCTGAAATAATGCACGGAAGGGCACCTGAGGTCTTCCTCCACCAGTAAAGCTGGAACATCGCCATATGACCTATACTGTGTCGGTGTGACGTATAAATCAAACAAACAAAAAACTTTCTGTTAATTGCTCACAAACAGTACAACATTTTTACCATGTTTTTGGTGTAAACCAGCCCAATCATGGACAATGAATTATCCAAGGATAGCAATAACATACCCAGTCAGCTGATTGGCATAAATGCTGGAAAGGTCCATTGACCCCTGAAACATGAACTTGTTTGTTGAATGATGTCTGTTGGAAAGGAAGCTTTTTATATAGCTATTGTTATACATGTACATACTAAAAGAGTAAACAAAGTCACTTTTATTATAAAATGTAAATATTTTGTAACTTAATGATCAGTATTAGTGATTAAGTGATTTTTTTTTCTGTCACTTTGTGTATAATGATTTTATATACATTTGTAATATAATGTAAACTTGTTTGTATATTTTGTAGCTGAGTGAGTATGTGTCAGGATTGACTGAGGTACAGGGACAGGTGGATGGTAGAAACAACATCCAGTGCAGTAAATACATCACATTTCCTGATGAGGTCTCAGATAAATTTAGTAAGTGCAGGTTTGTTTTGAATGTGAGAGTATTTTCTTCAAACATTATCACAGTTAAGGATGTTATGAAAAAGTGTGTTTGAGTTATTAAGACAAAATTCCATTTACTAGGAGTAAAACTTTATCCAGGTCAGTTCTGAAGTATGTAAGAAAAAATCAGGATATTTACTGTCTTCTTACATTTCATTAAAGAATTATCCATAAAGTTCTTAGCAAAAGTATATCTTTATACCTCCACTTCAAGTGGCTTTGAACTATTGACTCTTAACTGCTGTGGGTTAGAATCCAAAAGGAACTTTGGATATAGAAAATCACCATACAACAGTTACAGTGTCCATGCAGGGCTCCAGATAAGATGGGTATACGCCTAAATTACACATGGAAACAACACGTTTACTCATTCAAAACAAAATTTAAGCGTATGAAAACGCACACAAAATTCAGGTTACACATTGAGCAACATTTCTTTTGCGTAAACATAACCGAAAGTAAACTTGGTGATTATCTTATTTTCAATTTTGTCTGAACGCTTTGCAAGCGTCTCTGGTAACTTCCTGTAGTTCCGACCATCATCGGTTGATATCTTATGTATAGTATGGTGGTGGAATTAACTTCGTATGAATGCTTTGCAACGTCTAACGGTAACTTCCAGTAGTTCTGACTATCATCGGTTGCTATCGTATGTTTAGTAAGGTGGTGGAATTGACGCAATTTCATAAACATCTGTAAAAAGTTAAAACGATTGACTTGTATTTTCAGCCGAAAAAATCGACCGAAGGTTATAATTAATGAAATAATTAGCTCTTCCACGTATAAGCAACAGAAACATGCCCCAGGTTCAGATAAAACGTATGCCGTTTGGAAATGCAAGATTATAAACCAAGAGAGTCCAAAAAGCAAAAGAAATGACTTTGACATATATTGTATTACAAGTATAATAATGCAATAAACATGGAAGCATACTTTTACATACAATTTAAGGAGTAAAAACACTCCTGTCAAATTTCAGATTTCAAGTTTTACTCGTTCACAAAAAAATCAATGAGTAAATACTCATTGCCCTAAAAAATTATCTGGAGCCCTGGTCCATGTGACTTAAATCACAACAAAATAATGAAATGAATAAAACACTGCTAGATAAATTCATAGTTTTGTAAAATATCCTGCTATATTTACCTACACAGACTCCAAAAACATAAAGAATTGTGTTAACAAATAACACGTTATTGTACCTTGCTTTAGATCCAGGCAATGTTTCTAGGATTAAAAATTTAAAGCTGTGCTACAGGGCATTTTCACACTATCACCTGGGTCCGAAATAAGGCCCCATTCCCAATCCAAGATAACCTATTTTCCTGAAAAAGTTAATTGTTTCACCTTTTGAGAAAAATTTAACAGTTTTGACTTGTTTCATAAGGTTTCAGTTTTTATGATCATACACATATTAAAAAACTTATGTATACACAAGATAGATGTAAAATAAAACTAAAAACATGTGTATACATGAGATAAATTTTCAACTTTTAATAAAATTTCTCAAATTTCCCAAAATGTCGAATAATTTTCCAACTTTTTGCCTTTTCCAAAAATAGCTGAAAAAGACCCTGTGCTACTTTGTAGGGATGGTCTGATACCGGGGTTTGATGAATCCTAATAATTATGATCAAGATCTCATGATTTTTGTAATTATGTTGTTTTTGTTGTTTTTTCACAGATATGGAAAACTACAATGCAGCTGTAGAATTAATGGCAAGATGTCCTCAGTTTTATGAGCAAGGCATACAGCCACAACAATCCTAGTTTACATTCTCCTAAACATCACAGATTAATTATATCAAGGATCTTTAGAACTTGAACATTCAATATTGATTGATGTGTAAAAACATGTAAATGTGCGTTGTTATTGACAAATGTAACTTCTATCATAATCACAGGAACTATATTCCAGCACCTATCTTTCTGTGGAAATTGCACCACAATGCAGTACATGTATAAAGAACTTGCAGTAGAACTTGGATTAAAATACATTTATGTTTTCTTAAAAAATAATCTGTAAGATATTATATACATTTGTCATCAGTGTTTTAGGTTGTAGTGTTCCTGCAGTCAAATGGTGCATGTGGCATTATGTGGGCAAATATGATTAAAAAAAAAGCATTTGTCTCTTTAATAACAGCTTGGCTAGCAATATACCTAGATTTTCGAGACACAAGTGTTATTTGTTTATGAGATCTGTTTTTAAGCCGCAATGAAATTAAGTCACGCAGACGACATCAGTGACATTTAAAATCAATGCTATTTATGGAGTGAAAATGCTGCTAATGCCTTGTTCTTACTCCTGATAAATCTTTGGTCCAGATATTATTGTAACAAATGTTAAAATTAGATCAATAAAAATTTACAAGTGTGTTTTATATCGAGCCAGTTTTGAAGGAAATAATCACAGCTATATAGAATTGTAATGTATTTTTCATTTGTTCATTAAAATGGCCTTGCCTGGCATCATCTATTTTAAATATTGATGTCAGTATTAAATAGGTTAGCCAGCTGTATGGTCATATTTCTCAGATTCTGCCCTAGCGTGTACAAGGTTATAAAGGCATATTATTATTGCTGTTATGGTTAAGAGTTATTGAAATTAACATTTTGCATAGTATTACTAGGAAGATTGTCGTCTGCTAAAAATGTCGTCTGCATAATTTTTTTAATTTTATCCATTTTTTTTTAATTTAAAAAAGAAATTGGCACAGTCAAATTGATTGCTACTGGACATGATGGGGTGTTACTGTGAGTTACTGTATGTCTGTTTGGCAAAGGTTATTATGATTGTGTTCAGTCAGACAAGGGTTGATAATATTTTGCTCTTAACCACGATTTTAAGAAAATTTTGATATGAATGGTAATCTTCAGAATATCACTGAATCAAAGATTTAATACAAAATGTTTTCTCTATTTATTGAAATAAACTTCCTCTATATAAGAATATCATTATGTTTCTTGTATTTTACCCAATATTTATTGCAATGAAAGAGTCTTTGTTAAAGATTAAAGAATTCAACGTAGAGACTGGAGATTTTTTGCAAAATGGCCTTCAAAAAACTATATGTGCAGTTTAAGCTATTGGTCAGATGCTGCAGCAGTATTCGGTAGACCTGAAGTCAAGAGGGGGGGGGGGGGGGGGGGCAACCAGTTGATGATGTCTCTGTACAGTGATTCAGTTAGTAACACAACACCACAAATTAGTTTTATTCCTCTTTATTAAAAGTACAAATGAACATTTTTATCTTTAGCTATTTACCAATTGTCACATCACATGCACACTGAACATGTAAGTAAGTAAGTAAAGGCTTTATTTATCGAGGCTACTCATTTGGTTTCCCAATCTTCCATGTGGGCCTCTAATAAAAACATAATTTACAATATATACCACTACAATACTACAAAAATAATTGCAATAACAATGTGTTACAATGTACATTGAAATTGTCAGAACAAGAAATACATGTTAAATATTTACAGTCCATTCATAGCATAATACATGTTAAAGAAGTACATATCAAATTAAACAAAGTGGGAAATACGTTTTAGGTGGTTCATCAAATGATTGGATTCTAATTTTGTTATAAAATGATTAATTTAATGATGAGAAATGCCAAGATAGATATGAAGCTTGAAATTCCTAAACTGTTAGATTTTCTTATGTTAAGAGGGATATTATTCCATAATTTAGGGCCAGAGTATACTAGGGATTTTCTGAAAAATTCTTTCTTAGGTCGTGGAACAGCTATGTCTGAACTATTTGTAGATCTTAAGTTGCGCTCATGTTTTTGGTAAACAAATTGGAATTTACTTTGCATGTATTGTGGATATGGTATGTCATTGATAGATTTAAACATTATGATTGCTTTTTTGTATTTCATTCTTTCATCAAATCTCATCCAATTTAGTTCTTTAAACAAATCACTGGAGGGTGCATCGTAACTTTTATCTAGAATTATTCTTGCTGCTCTTTTTTGAAATTTTATGATTTCATTGATCAGATCATTGCTGCAATTGCCCCAGATAGTACAGCAATAATCTAAGTGTGGCAAGATGTATGAGTTAAAGAATAGTTTTCTTGCATGTAAGTCTAGGTATTGCTTGATGTCAATTTATCTTGACTGAGTAATGGTGGGGCTATCATATTTACTTGAGCTTCAGTGTCCGCTTATTAGAGTTCAACTTATATTTCATCAACCACATTTGCTTGTTACTCCACACGTCTGAGATCATAGAGGACACTTCAAGGCCTATAACTCAACATGGATTTTAATTTATTTTGAATAAAATAATCCTTTGATAATTCCAACATCTAGGCTTGTATCAAGCACTTTGAATAGTTGTGCATGCTGTCTTACTGACACCACTTGTTTTTACAATAACTTACAACTGGAATCTGATGTTATTTCTTTTTCTGTCGAGTGGAATGAATTTATAAGAAAACCATTTAAGAAGTGGAACACCAGTGTGTTTGTAGCATCAAGTAATTTCAGATTCAATGATTTGGTCACAAAAATGATAATTGTTTGCTCCTTGCTTCTGTAGGTACAAATTCTGAAACAGACTTTAATTTTTACCAATTGGGAAGCTATCAAGCTTACAGAAAGTTGAGAACTTAATGAAAGTGATGACAACAATAGCTAGATTATAATTGTTATGTTTGTAATGATTTGATAAATGTTCTACCAAACTCGATGTCATATGACCTGTGTGATTTGAGACATACCAAAATCCTCTTAGACTAAATACATTATACACCACAGAGCTACTACCATAATTATCAACATGAAAATAGGCAAAACCTCTGAACGGGGAAGTCAGATAAATTTTTGTTGATTTTTCGTGTTGTCTCTACAGAGTAGTGGCAACATAATTCTACGGTCTTAGGGATCACTTCTACGTCGTCTGGCTGTCCATCCTTTCCTCAGAAACTACATCTGCAATTTTTTTCCAAACTTTACATGAATGATCAATAATGTGTAGTTGTGTATCTCATCAACATTTTTCGGTTAATTGTTTTTTGGCCCTTTAATGATTTTAATTTCTCCGGACTAACTACTCTTATAACACTAATGCAATTTCATTGGAACTTTACAGCTCAAGTACTTGTGCATATTACACAGGTTTTCATGTTGAATGATTTTTGGCCAAGTTATGGCCTTGGAAAAAAAAACCACGTTTTGCCTGGTTAATGATTTTTGTGTCTCCTGCTTCAAAGTAGTTGCATCATGCAATTGGTTATCATGAAGCAACACGTGATCACTGATGTCTCTTGTTATTTTACATTCATCATTTTAAAGCTGCTATAGGGTATTTCATGCACATTCAATCCAAACATCTTGGCGATTATTTTTGAACCGAAAAGTTGCAATGGTTCTTTTATCGGAATTCGTTGTGTTGTATAAAAAAATGGCAGTGTCCAACTAGAAATGATAATGAAAATCTCACTGATGGGGTATAGAATTGTTTATATTTTTTATTTATTTTTTTTGCATTTTCCTTTTAAAACTACACAGTGTATAGCCAGGCAAGTCAAAGCCTGGGCCCGCTTTGCAGTCATGACCTTCGACTTCCCCGTATAAACTGATCATCTTCTGCATCAATAAAACTGGGAACAAAGGTGATTGAAAACTGAGCATCTTAACAAATTAGGCTGGCGATAATGGTTACAAAAGCTGTATATTTTCTGAATCAGTAGAGCTGCCAGATCATCAAATTACCTTTACAATGATGGCACAACTTGATGTTATATTTTAAGGCTTGTCTGTTGATAACAAATTTGCATCAATGTTAAAAGTAACTAAAAATGTGGCCATAGGAAACAGGTGCCCCCCATACTCACTGTTTTGTCAATATTCTGACTCTAGTCAAATACTTTTTGACCTACATGTGACACAAATTGAAAATTTTCACTAAGTCAAGGGCAATAATTCTGACAAAACAAAATTATTCCACAAGCAAAACACCAGGTGCAGCACTTCACATGCTGATCAACATTAAAGTTTTTGCAGATAACAACAACAACAACATGGTGATCATAATAACTTGACATGTTCTATGAAACACACAAGATTTATACATATACAACAACACAGTTATAAATTTTCTAAAGACAATTTATTGTGAAGCAAAATTTTGAAGTGCAGGGTTATATCAAACCCTTTCTAAGCATTTACATTAGCTGTCTATTCATGAATCTATTCTAATTTCATAAAGGTATCTATATTATATTGTAGATACAAAAATTTTGATAATATTAAAATGTTTACTATACATATAATGAATATTCTGCATAACAAAAACTATACTATAAATGTATATTTTAACACACACACACAAACACACACATATATATTAGAAGGCACAAAGTGGTAATGAATATTAACAATAAAATCTGATATGTTGAATATATAATTATCACCATATATACATGTTTATGCATATTTTGTAGAATTATTGCTCTTTTCTACAACAGTTCAGGCCATATTAACAAGTTAAAAAAAGTATACCTGTAGGTCAATTATGTGGTAAAATTGCAAAATAATCACATACTAGATGTGATAATTAACAACATGGTAAACTGCCGTGAATAAAAATTTAAAGAAAAGGTCAATAATCCGGCAAAAGATAACAAAGGCGCATCAAGCATTCCTCCTATCCACCCCCCACCACCCACCCCAAAGTGTAAGGCCCCTGGGGGCATTTATTGTAGAATAAAAGGTAGTTCACCTTTGATATAATTATAAAGGACTTGCCTTGCATTGAAAAAAGGACAGTCTATAAATAATTTAAAGGAATTACATTATCAAAATACAAAAATGTAGAAGTGGTAAGTATTGAGTCTGTCCAAGAATGTGGAGTTGACTATAGTGAATCATTTCCAAAAATTGAAAGCCAGTTAGAGCCTTAGAGGTCAGGAGTTTGAGGACAGTATTGAGTTGATGGTAAAATATGAATGTTTTCTTTATACTTAATATGACACTAATCCCTACATTATGATGAATGTGTACTACCTCCAGACAGAAATCTCTACATCAATAAGATAAATAACAACTGAAGCAGTGTTTTAATCAAGGTTTGTTTCTGTGCATGTACAAAATACTGGTCTGGTCATAAGGGTTCACCACGAGGAATATATTCTTGCATAGCACTTGATGTTATAAAACTTTCTGAGCTCAGTCTAATATCTTATGATTTTCATCGGTCAGTGTACATTCTGTGCCATTTTTTGACCAATCAAATAAAATTAGTTTAAATTTAGAAATTTACTTCTAACCTCCAACCCTGAACAACCCAATCTTCATAACTCAATGAGACCTGTAACACCAGTTGTCAAATTTCAATTTTATTCTCATAACCAATCAATCCATACATATCTGTTCAGATATGTAACTATTTTTCTTGCATAGCAGACTGGCGTTTCCGTGAGTTTTACCCATGCCGGAAATTTCAACTGGTATGGAGGGTGCTAGATGAGTCGCATGCCAAACAACAACGTCATTTTAGCGCACTTTATGAATGAACCGCGTTAAAATGACGTCATTTTAGAAGGGAAATATGCGCTTATGATGACGTCATTTCGCCGCTTTTATTTAAGTTGCAAGTTCATACACTATTGTACGAAAATAGTTATGGATGAAATGACTTTAATTTCCATGGACATATAACATATTGAGGTTAACCATTTTAAATATGAAGCAATATGGCAGAATATGCAAGAAAAAATATCTGACATGTTTGCGGTTCGGATCGGATATCCGTCCCTAGGGAAGCTGCCAACTGGTGGTAACTTGGCAAGCTTCGTTACCGCCCCTCGGGACGGATATTTGGGTCCGAACCGCATCATATGACAAATATTATTATTGTATAACAGCCGAAATATAGCAAATTCAAAAACATAACGGTAATAAGAATCTTACAACAAATAAATGATTTTTTGCTGATAAAGAGGATAGACAATAAGAAATAAGATAATTACAGACAAAAAATCATACACATCTGATTACACTTTAAAATATTCAAACAAAAATAAAAAAATCTTCACAACCATTTTTTAAACAATCACACTATTATCATGATAATGACATTATTTTATTTGTAAGTACATTACAATATAAGTAAAAAAGTCATTGAAGATTTTATGAATTAATCCTTACAACTTCAAATATCTTAAATGAACTTGTCAATCTTTCAATCTGGACAAAACCAGTCATCATTTTTACTGAAAATTTGAAATATTTAATGATTGAATACCCCTAACAGTACAGATCATAATCAGACAGCACAGATGTGCCACCTGATCTTGGTCTGCACTGATCAGATGGTCAGAACCAGCTGCTTCCAGCAGGCTAACAGTTAATGAAGACTTATCAATTGTACATATCTGTCTATAAAATTGAACTCAAAAGATTTACTGATAAATGAACAGTGAGCTTGCCATATGACCCCTTTTGAAGGTAATAAAATAAATGAACATTTGGTACAAAAATCAGAAAATATATATAAATCTTCTTAGATGTGCCTGTAAGTGGGGCAAAATATATTTGTCAAGTCCATTTTCTAAAAAAAAGTCGTGATATTTTTTCCATCTTTATAATAAGAATGGGATAATAGCCTTTCTGCTTGGAGGGTAGGATTCAAACTTCTTGCGGTACCATTGTTGACGCCCTAGGGCTCGAACCAGATGACTCATGGTAACATAGCCAGTACACAACCACCAGGCCTGGTGCTTGAAGCCTAGCGCTACACCTGATATAATGAAAAAAATAAAGAAAATAAATATCTTTTTGTACCTAATGTTAGAAAAAGATATTTTTTAAAAATACTTGCAGTTTGGGAAGAGATAATGATTACCGTAAAAAGGACAAGAACATCTAAAATATAATTAGTTTCCATATTCTTAACTTGGAATTAAATTACAATAATAATAATAAAGGTGTATTATAAACAAAACTTACCGATGGCTCCATGTATGAGAATTTCATTGAGGAGTTGTGGGCATGACACATATTCAAACATTCCTCCTTTTGGTAGTTTATGATCCTCGCTCACCACATGGCCTGGTAATCAACAATAATTACATCACTTTAAATAATACACTACTCACAATATGAATAATTTCTGATATATATACACAATCTTAAAATTTTTAAATACAGCACGTAAAGCAATACACCACTATGCAAGTTAAATAAATCTTCTAAATATAAAACTTAAAAAAAATATACTTTTAGTTTCAGCAAAGTGTTTCCAATCCAGCTGAATGTAATACTATGCAAAATATGACATTTTCTTTTTTTATTACTAAAATTTCACCTCATAAATCACTGAGTATACTACATTTATAAATTTGCTAGCTTTTATCACATCTGCACACTCATCAACATTTTTACTCTGACATTAAAACAAGTTTTAAGTTTTCATAAAAAAATCATCAAAATTTGGATGTATTCTGCTGTAACTGGAACCAAAAGTGTTAAGCCTTTCCCACCAATATAGATCAAATAAAGTAAAACATAAATAAATAAAACATGGAAAAGGTTAATTACTGTTGGTTCCATCAAGTTTAAGGTTAAAGAAATTGAGCATATTGCTTACATAAATGGCTGACATCTTAAACCTTGCTAATACCTATTATATAGGTGTGAATATGATGGCTTTTAAAGAGCGGAAATCAGTTTTAGGGCTGTGATTAAAATAAAAGAAATAAAGTTTGTTTGATTTCTTTTTTTACGCAAATAACTGACCTGTAAAAATTTCACAACTTCTCAACAAGTAACGTATTACTTATCCCTCATAATTTCTGAATCAGTTTTAACATGATCATTAGACTCGATGTCAGACATCAATTGTCACACAGAACCTACACCTTCCAAGGATTAAACCAGCATCCATAGCTACTAATCCAATCATCTCCTTATTAAGCTATGTGAGCAAACAAAACAGGCACAAAATGTTTGAAAATTGACCTTGACCCTCAATCATGCCTTCTTACCTGCCCTATTTTTCCTGAATTTCGCCAGCTGGTACTGCAGTTTGTAGTCAAAGTGTGATATCAAAGCAAATGCTGCCACACCTGCTAGATGGTGCCAACTGAAATCTGACCAGTGGAACCAACCTGTAAACATATACAACAATACTTCACAAGTTGTATTTTACAAGTACAGTAAGCACCAATCATAATATGAGCCGTGTCATGACAAAACCAACATAGTGAGTTTGCGACAAGCATGGATCCAGACCAGCCTGCGCATCGGCGCGCACTCTGATCAGGATCCATGCTGTTCCCTATCAGTTTCTCTACTTTTAATAGGGTTGGTAAGCGTACAGCATGGATCCTGATCAGACTGTGCAGATGCGCAGGCTGGTCTGCATCCATGTTGGTCGCAAACACACTATGTTGGTTTTGTCGTGACGCGGCTCATTATTGTGAAAGTCCAGCCTTCCTCTGCTGAATTTATTAAATGGACTTGTGCAGATTCCATCTTTGTAACTGCCCACTAACTATGGACTTAACAAGATGAAAATTTGAAGTTGGTTGGTCAGGCAAACATATTGTAAAGCCCTCACAATAAATATTACATGTATATAAAATTATGGTATTGTGAAATGTAACCTTTATCTTGCTGAATTTATTTAAAAGTCTTTTCCAGTTTTCATTTTTTAAATAGCTCATTATCATTTATATCAATATGATTATGGAAATACTGAAATGAAAATTTGAATGTGGCCAGACCATTGTGTTGTAAAGCCTGGTCAAACTGCATACATATTTTAAAATTTTCTAAAAAAAAAAAGATTTTATATAAGATTATTTCTCTAATTCCCACAAAATGAGCAACATGTATTGTCATGAACCACTCATAAGCATTGGTTAATCATTTTTGGTAGAGTTTTTGTTTATGTTCATTAATTTTAATACTAAATTATCTATCTAGCACTGAGTAGTGGAGCATACTACTTATTGGATCATAGGTAAATACAATTTTAACAATATAAACTCCATTTATCAATTACTTTTCTTACTGTGAAACATTTAACTTGAAAATAAAAACCAGTGTAATAATTATGAAAATACAAAGCATAACACCTAAGTAAATTTCTTTCCTTCGACAATTATTCTTATATAAGATCATTGCATGATTTACATTCAATAGTTATATATCAAACTTTTGTATGTATCCGGTAATTACCGGTAGGTAATTTTTTTTGTTTTTTTTTGTCGTTTTTTTTGCTTCATCATGCCTCATCACTTTAAATAGATAGAAAAGTAGATAAAAGTGAAATAAAGTCCTATTAATTAATGATTATACTGCTCACAACCACAACAAACACCTCACTTTTCTTTATAAAAAAATATCTACCAGCAAGGCGAAACATACCCTATGTGACTTAAAAAATGTTCTATTAACCCTTTACCTCATATATACGCGAAACAACGCACTTTCTACCCCCCCCCCCCCCCTTTTTTAGGCCTGAAATAGTGAAAAAATGTCCTATTTGGGCCCCAAACACATGTTTTCGTTTGAGAAATGTTGCTAAAAAAAGTGAGCACTTTTTTGGCGCCGCGCCCCCCCCCCCCCCCCCATCCAAAAGATACATCGGGGGGTTGCCAGAAGGGGGATGAAAATTTTTGACATGTGAGAGGCTAAAAATGACCCCAGGTTGATTATAAGGTTACGTGTAACCAACGCTGAAAAGCCTTTGACTCTATCTCGATCCCTTGAGAAGTTGCAGCACTTTGAAATAAATTTTGATGGAAAAAATCGAGTCAATGCCATGGTAACAGGAAATTTAAGACTGAGCATGTTGTTACAAAGGCAATGGTCCAGTCAACATTTGTGCCAAGTTTGATTAGTATTGAAGCATTTTTCATAGTTTCATAGCAGTTTGAACTTGTAACAGGAGGCTTTTCAGTAAAAACGGCCATTTTTCACAATATGCTCATGAGGGAAAGGGTTAAATAAAAGCTGTCAGTAGGACAGTGTGCTAGACTATTCTCAGTGCTTGATAATAAAACAAGAGCCTGGATAATGTAGAATTTTCGACTATTTTCAGTGCCTGGCATAGAACAAAAGTCTAGATAATGTAGAATTTTCTATATTCAAAGAAAGCCATTATTCTGTCAAAATCCAAGTTAAAGAGTTTTGGACATTGGACAGTGACCTATTATGCTTTGAAAGTTTCAACCCATTTCTTTCAATAGTTTTGGATATACAAATTTACACACACAATTTTAACCAAAGTGTGACCTTGACGGTGATGTGAGTACAATGACTTTCATTATTTTTTGAATATTTGATCTAAAATCTGATCAATTTAACAGAACTAACTGACCTCTTCCAGTGCCATCTAAAGCTGGAGCCTCGGCTAGGATTGTGAGACCAGCGCACAGTGAGTATATATGAGGAGCTAACCAGTCTACAAGTCCAAGTGTTGTTGTTGTACTAAATACATTAATATAGACACTCTGATACCATTTAACGCATGTGCGTGCAAACAGGAGACTACTTCCAACAACTACAGATAATTCATCTGAAATATAACAAAAATCATATTATTTTGTTGAGTTTAAAGCTGTTCTAAATTATTGACAGTTATATTTGTTATATCAACAAAGTTAAATGTTAGTCAGTCATGCACTGGCAATCTGATTAAAATTAGCTCTAAATAATGCTCCACATAAATACAAAGCTCGGGGAGCTTTCATTATTTTGAAAGCCATATGGTTTCTAATTTTAACCCTGGGAAAAACAATACTGAGTAGGTAATTTTCACGATTTCGAAAACAAACATGGCTGGCAGGTTAACTGGCAGAACAATATTGCCCATAAAAAAGTGACTCTATTTTTTCATGTTTAATTCAAACATTTTTTTTACTAATACAAATCAACAATTTGTTTAACTTCCACGGATAACGGTATTTTGATACTTCTATTGCCTTTGAAAAAACTGGTTTGAATGCATGGCTAAAAATAGCTTTCTCTGGTAATCCAAATTACAGTAGAATCCCTACTAAAGACCACCTCGGATTTAAGACCACCCCGCTTTTAAGACCAGTTTTTAAAAGAACGGAATTTTCTGTTCTTTATGTCAATGGTAAAATGATCCAGAATTAAGACCACCTCACTTATCCACTTTTAAGACCACCAAATTCAGTCCCAATTCATTATTTTGTTCTTTATTTGACCTCACTATTGAGACCACTGATATTAAAATCAACACCTTCCTAGATCTTAAATGTGTTGTTATGTTGTTATTATCTGCTTGATTGCTCTTAGGCATGACACTTGATTACACAAGGTGTCAAAAACTGTTATTTATGGGATATTTAATGAAAAAAGGTGAGAATGTTAATTTCATAGTGGTTTAATGTTGCTTTATGCACATTTGTTTTGTGAAGAAATAATGCCTGATATGATATGTGAATAATGTACATTATACAATAATTACTATTGAAATCAGAACAAAGAAAATTTGATATTAAATTTCTTCAGAAATATGTTTTCTTCCCATCAGATGTAACATTATAACATACCTTCATATTGTATTTGCAGGTTAAGATACATGTATTGTTTGTTCATACAAAATAACTTAAATAGGCCCTGGTCATGACGTGTGTAAACAATGATAAGAATACCCACAATTAAGACCACCCCGCAATTAAGACCACTTTGGCCCAGTCCCGATGGTGGTCTTAATTGAGGGTTTTTACTGTATAAAGAAGGTGTAACATATACAGTCGTCATCAGATCTACATATAAGAAATAGGTAGATCTGAACTTAAGTCAGATTGTGGCATGGGCTGATCACATTGATCTCCAGCAATGCTAGGGGTAAAAAGCATTTGGATTCATCTGATAAACAAGAGAAATAATTTGATGTTTTTGAAATGGTATTGCTGGCAGCTAAATGAAGGAAACTTTTACTATAAAGGTAGCAAAATTTAAGTTTTTGGATAATGAAAAAAAAAAACTATGAGAAAACTGTTTGTTCCAGACATTATGTGGAATTTCTTCTACATGTTTTATTTAAAGATATTTAAATTTATCATTCTCTTGAAACTTTAAACTAGAAACATGTCTATAAGACACACAACACCTATGTTGCTGTCCACCGTTTTGTCAGTATACAGACGGGACTGCAAGATGGACAGACAACAGCAAATATTTATGCCCCTCCACTTTAAAAATGGAAAAAAACTGGCAAAAAGCATGCCAGGCTATTGCTACAGCCTTCAATCATAGGCTTACCTGCAGTAACTAGACCAGGGTTTGATACTCTGTCAACAAAACGTTGTAGCCAACCAAAGTTTGTGATTCCAAACCAGTATGAGTTATATACAGCTATACATATTGCACCATTCATGCCTAGCTCAAGGAACAGTCGTCTTATTGGTCTGAAAATTTGAGAGAAATACACTGTATGTTCCTGAACTTCTTGACAAATTTAGATCTTTCTGTATGATTTTGTTTTCATTTAGATATCAAATCTTAAACCTAATTGTACCTGAAGCCTTAGTCCTACCATACTGATTTAAGAAAATCTTGCCTTATTCCTACCATACTGATTTAAAAAAAAATCTTGCCTTATTCCTACCATACTGATTTAAAAAAAATCTTGCCTTATTCCTACCATACTGATTAAAAAAAATCTTGCCTTATTTCTACCATACTGATTTAAAAAAATCTTATCAAGAAACTCAAGAAAGGCAATGTTTTATTTTGATAAATATTTTGGCACTTTTTTCCTATTTTTCATAAACACTCACAGGGTGCTAATTTGAGAACAAGATAAAAATCTTGCAAAACAAGAAAAACTGTCAAAACAGGTAAACAAAACACGTGATGGAAACTGAGTCAACTTTTAGATCTCTATATGTCATCTGTGTAGGGAAGAGCTAAATAAATATTGAATATAATGAATAAATTAAGAAAACTTTAAATGAAAAAAAAAACATGGTTACCTTTTGTTGAATCTCAATATTCCTTTCTCACCATCAAAATCACGACTGGTGCTCGAGCCTGCAACAGTTTGGTACATTCCCTTCAAAACATACACTCCAGATAAGGACGTCCACAGCAGGCCCAGGCCCGACATGGTGCCTATATGGGCTGGCAAGTCAAACATGGTGCTTGGTATTCACTTGTATTCACTGTCTGTAAATTAAAGATAATGATAGATAACCAGATAGAAAGGAATACTTTGTTCATTACAAATTTATCATGCAAATATGGTAATGAAATACACTGAACTTTATTTTTACTGAGTTCAGCTAGGTATAGTAGGCCTATCGCATTTACAAAATAATTATACTTTCTGAATGGTGGTATACAAGTATTTCCTCCTACAACATTTTTTTGGCAAATTAAAACAAACATGAATTTCTTGTTATGAAACAAACAAGGTACTATACAGGTAAATTACCTATGAAGAAGCAGTTATATTACTGATTTTTTACATGTTTATATACAGTCATGTACTATAATGTACAAATTTGCCTTTAACATGCTGTATTCCTCTGAACGTACTTGTCCAACTGTCTATTTCCAATTATATTATATACTGATAACAATTTGGCCAAAAGTTTAGGACATGCTGGTCTGGCTGTATACTGGCGGCTAAAGATGAGCACTAGAAGTTTCAGCATTTAAAGAATTAGAAGTTCTTGATATTGGTTACGGAAGATTACGCAGTTGTTGTCGATAATAGGAAAAAGAATTCTGATGTCTTTAAAGACAGGAGGGGAGAGTCAGCAGTTCTTGATTACAGGTAAGGATAATCAGAAGTTCTTAAAAACAGGTGGGAAAAGTCAGCATTTCTTGAAAACAGGCAGGGGAAGTCAGCAGTTCTAATATAACAGGTGGGAAGGAGCTAGCAGTTTTTGATAATATGTAGACAGAGAAGAGTTAGCAGTTCTTAACAAAGTGTTAGGCTGTTAGCCATTATCCAATGAGAGGAGGGGAAGAGTTTAGCAGATATAAAATTAGTGTATGTAATTTCCTGAAAGTGTCATTATGTAAAACATTCAACAGTTTTATATCAAGATATCACACTGATCATTATAACAGAGTAAGAAGTGCATTGTTGGTAACAAAAACCCTACAAGAAAATCCTTGACAGATAACAATTGTAAACAAATTTATCATCATGTCAACTAACATATGCATATGTATGCACAGTCTATGAATATAGATATTCATGTACACATAGCAATAATAAACTAAGGTTATCTAGTACTCCATCATTTTAACAAAATGGCTGCAATTTTGAATTTTAAATAATTGTCCTCAAATAGGCTTTAAGTGAATTGGTGTATAATGGATGATCTGTGAAATGTTTAGCAAGATTTATTTACAGAATTTAGCATTATATTTGACAAATTACATATGAATGGGGATAAATGATCTGATATGACATATATCTACATATATCCATATACTGCCAGCTTTCAATCACAATCACTTTTCAATCATCCATAAAAATTTACTTTACTTTACTTTACTATAGGAAACCTACCTACAAGCACATCCTATTTACATTGAAAAAAAAAGCAAAATATCATTATTTTAGTTCTTTGGTTTCTTCAAAATACATAATTGGTTATATTTTATCATTCATTTCATGACATATTTTTTGTGGCAATGAAATGTTTAACAACAGGAAAATAGGTCAGTAACTGTTTAATTATGATGCATATATATAACTCAGATGAAAGTTGTTGCATTTATTAGCTAGCTGAAATTATGATATATGTAGAATTGTATGGGAAAAATAATTTGCAGATGGACAGGAAGTTTTCACAACTATACAGCTTTGGAACAAGTGGGTTTTAAGGGAGGGATTTCAGAGTCATCTCCCTCATTGGCTAAGATTAAGATCTGACTAAAATATCTTTAAATGCAATAAATACCTATACACTGGCTACAGATACACATAATATAACATCCTGTAATCAATCTTAGCACTGGTTAAATACATTCATTTACATAAATGAAAATATTTCTAATTTTCCAGTTTTTACCTACAATGTGAATCAAGTGCACACTGATTCCGATATCACTACCTCCTTTTATGAAGAGTATTATCATAAACTATTGTCAATAAATCCTGATATTAAATGTGTAACCATAAATCAATCTCTTTAATTTCACCATAAAGCTTCATTATGAACCCATCTTTATTAAACAATTTATTTGCTATCAATGTAATATTATGTGCATGTACATCATTTAAGTTGCTTGAATAAGAATGTTACAAAAAGTAAATAAAGTCTTCCCTGACCTGTTTTTCCCTATGCCAAAAATGAAACTTTGAAATATAAACCTGTTTAATGATAAAGTAGACAAAATATAAACTACCTGTATGCTTTTAAATCCTCTACTGAATATTAAACACCAGTAAATGATGTATGTGTACCGGTACTGTGATGTATATATATGTATATATCTTCAGTAAAGCATAGTTTACTATTTAAACAATTATCAGTAATAAATCAACCTTGAAACACACACACTTGAATGACGATATGAGAAAAAAGCTCTGTTTTATATTGATTGCTACTTAAAGCTTTATGATAAAAACAAATCTGTACTGTATGCTGACATTTTTTATCATTTTATCTCTAAAAGAAAATCCCCAAGGTAAAAAACGATCAATTGAGGTTGTTTTTTTTTAACATTAAATTTATATTGATTTTGTTTGCTTTTCTTAGTCTTTAACTGAAACAAAGTTATATATTCTGATAAAATTACAGCTTGACTGGTTGAAAAATATTCCTAGCAACCATCACATGCATCATTTACAGGGGCAAAAAAGTTTTCAACTCATAACAGTATTATTAAATGACACAAAATAATAAATAATGTTTCACAAACAGAAAATTTAAATGATCACTTGGGTTTTTTAAAAGAAGATTGTTTTAGTTTGTATATAGACATATAAGGAAAATCAATGACCCCTTGAGCGGGGCCAATTTTGACCCCATGAATTTTATTTGAAAAATCTTGGTAGAAACTTATTAGAAGATGTTTAACACTAAATATCTAAGCTCTAACTCTTTGGGGTTTTTTTAAAGAAGATTTTTTCATTTTTAAAATATACATATAAAGAAAATAAATGACCCCCTGGGGAGGGGCTAATTTTGACCCCAGGGCTTTTATTTGAACAAACTTGGTAGACAACTAGACATCCATTAGAAGATGTTTTTGAAAATAAGACTTTTTAAGTTTTTTTCATAGACATATAAGGAAAATCAATGACCACCTGGGGCAGGGCCAATTTTGATCCCAAGGCTTTCATTTGAACAAACTTGGTAGACAAGGCAACCAGAGTTCTGCATGGAATTAAATTCTATGAACAATTTTTAAAGGTGATCGCCAAAGGGAAATTCCTGTGAAGTTTGGATGACATTTGCTCAGCGGTTTATGAGATGTTGTTTTATGTAAAAGTAATGGACAACAGGTGGACAATGGACGGACGGACACAGGACGAAAAGCGTTCAAAAAAGCTCACCATGTCATTTTGTGACAGGTGAGCTAATAAAACTGCATTTTTTTTATCAAAATTCATATGAATATTCATTAACTATTAGAATGTAACAGTGATAAATGACTTGTGACTTATTAATGACGATTCTTTATACAGTTGGGTGTTCATATTAGTTTAATTCATATTGAAACGCCCCCCCCCCCCCCCACACACACCCCAATCAACTGAAAAATATCATTTTTGATTAGCACCAAAGTTTGACCTGGCAGTGTGGGGTCGAACAGAACTGAGTCAGAAGTTTATAACATTTCTTCACTTATCCTCCATGAGAGGTTTGGTTTTAATATAATAATTGACTGGTATATCTCATTAAAGTTATCATTATTGTAATTATTTTCTTTAACAGGTACTAACTTATCTTGGGACATGTAATTAAAGTCCAGTGGTCTGAATTAGCACTGGTCAAACAGCAAAAAAGAAGATTTTCTCTAATTAAAGAAAAATTCCTATTTTTCAATAAAAATTGCTTAGTTACAATCCGAACATGCTTGTAAATTTAATTAAATCTTTAACCGGCTGGAACTGAAAGTAATAAGCCTCTACAACCAGTACACAGCCAGGCCAGCTTGCAGATAGATCTATGCAGTCCAACAAGACCCTATAGTAACACTGTTCACTAAGGAACTTGACGTTTTCATCAAGACATCCCTGTAAGTTACAGTGGACAGCTCCAAAAATTGAAGCTTGACAAGTCTGTTCAAGAAATTGAGCAGGTCACTCCTGCATATATCACCCAATGTCACTATCAATATCACCATTTCAGACAAAAATAATGACTTTCCTGCTTGATAAGAGGAAAAGAAAATATAATGATATGTCCTTGCATGAAACATTCCATTTTTTAACAAAACAGGTTGGAAGGATATTATTTCAAGTCCTGTAATACAACAAAACAAAACAGACAGGGTCTTTCATATACAGACTAGCTCCAAAATACACCTGAAAATGAGGGCCGCTGATCTGTTTCTTGGAAAAAAAAAATCTCGCTACCTTCTTTACTTTAGAAAAAAAAAAAACAGTCCTTGCATGACAAAAACAATATTTAATTTTGGTAAATTTTATGCAATTACACTTTCTATATTGGCACCCCTTGAAAATCTCCACCAATCTTTTAAAGTGAGGGTGGGGGAATATTATCCCTATTGAACATATACAGTGACAGGAAATAAAAGGTGCTTGTGCTCACAATAATTAAACCATACAGTACATATTGAATAAAGTTTGTAGTCTCCCAATACAATTATGAGTCCTAAGCCAGAGTTTTAACTTGCTGAAACCACAGACACTTCGGGGTCAGACCCAGCCCCTACTAGCTTGGGCTGTCCCTGTCAACTGTCAATTTAAAACTATTAAATTTTAATCACAGGTGAGCATCCATCTTTATCTTGAAACTTATTTTATTAAGCCATTTCCAGATGAATAAAACATCCCAGTTACTATTAAGTTTAATTTCTAAATAATTTAGTAAGACTCTGAAACACATTCTTGTCCAACTCACAGAAGCTTGGGGGTCAGATCAAGTCTCAATAAAGTAAAAAAATTGCAGACTCAAAAATGTAAACAGTCCAACCAATACGCGACCAGAGCCTAGCATATGTTTGCGCTCTTGTTTCCCTTTTTGAGCTAGAACACTATAATTCTCTCACGACTAAAGTTGTATCAAAATCGTCACTTTCGGCATGTGGGTCTGAATTGGACTCTCGTCCATTTTTGAGTTTCCTATCCGTTGTTTATATATCTGTGCTTTCAGGAGATCCAATATGACCGCCAAATTCAAATATTTACATTGTACATTATATAGAATAAAAAACTTGGGAAACAACACACTGTGCATCTTGGTAATAGTTTTATTACAAATAAATGTCTTTTAAACGGCTAACACGCAGGACATGACGATAGAATGCTCGAGTAATCAAGAGCATGTACACAGTTTCTGTACCAGCTTGACAAGCACTCCACGCAGAGCCAGGAACTCATCACAGAACGTAAAATTAACTTTCGGTTTTTAATAAATGTTGATTTTCATATTAAAATGTGATGTATAAATGTTTATTCTGATTGCATGTAGAAGATAATTCTTTACACCGGAAAAGTCACGGTAAGGTTTATTTAATAAGGTTTTATAAGTGTTTACAGGGGCGTATCACGTTTGGAGGCAGGATTTGTCCCCCAAGCGTCTGTGGTCCAACTAGCACTAGAGACAAGGCCAGGGTCACTATGAAACAGGAAGTTTACCGCTTTATAACTTACACTTAGAAGGTTTCAGCTACGTAGGGATTTCCCTCCTTATCTGCAGTATTAAATCTAGTGACACTTTACTGATGACAATCATTGAATAAGGACAGCAATTCAATTTGATTCAACAGATAAAATGTTTTAAAATTGTATTTCTTGTTGCAAGAAGGGAGCTAACTCTAAGAAATTATTTAATTGGGTTTGGTATAAAATCAGACTCTATCGTTTATCGTTGTCATCTGCGTGCGCCTTGTATCCTCAATTCCATTTTATTTAGCTTCGTCCATTGTCCATGGAATGAAAAATGACCGGTCCGCCATTTACATGACGTATGAACACACCTGCGGATTTTTCAAAATTCAAAGTTTTACCAGTTCATGTAAAATGTTGAATTCTGCTTAAGCCGGTGCTAGGGGCGTGGACGGTAGCTTGCAATTACCACTATCGTCTACAAACAGGCTCAATCAAAAAGTCGGGAACTCTGCCGTGTTGGGCTTTCTTTAGGGATTCTGTTTTTCTCTATTGTTCACAGAATCAGAATAAGTTGTTATATGCATTGATTATTGCAATTATTTTTCTTTTTGTACATTTTTAGTTATATTTATCACTAGTGCTGTTGTCGTTTCTTCCGCACAATCACTCCGGCAGAGAAGATCTTGCAATTACTGTTACTTCATTCTAATTAATTTTTCTAATCTATTTGATTTAAATCAACTTATTGAAACTTATTGAAACCTGTATGGTCCTGGTTGCCCTATATAGATTATTACATCCAGATTCCAGAAATGTTTAAACTTTTAACTCTCAAAATCTTTATAATTTTTGTGTCCTGCTACAGCTGTAAAGTCCTACTTAAAGTTACTCACTGCCGTAGTCTATTACTTAGCGGCAATTAGTATTGTACAGCTGTAGATATTTAGTATTTTGTATGGAAGCAAAATTACTACTGTGCTTTTAAGACGCATAAATGTGAATTCGAAACTATTAAAGGAACTTCATTGAGGTCTAATATATAGTTTAAAATCATAAAATTTGAAATTCTTTCATAAATCAAAAACTATGTAATATTCTTAGATTATATGTAAACATACTCTGTATTAAATTGATAATAGACTTTTGATGTCATATTTGGGCCAATTTGAGTGAAAAGCGTTGCAACACTTTTCAATTTGGGTCCATTTGCTCTTATAAAATTGTTCATCCCCGGAAAGCGGTTGAGCGAATGATTTGTTATTTTGTACACGAGTTTTTGGTTCAAACCTATATATCCAGTTATAAAACCATTTTCGGTCCCTTCATGTCAAAAAACCTCAGTGGAGCCCCTTTAATTTTTACATTTAACTTCGACCATTTTTGTTCAGCTTTTTATCCTTCTAAAGAATGATTTTTTCGTTTCCGAGGCAAAACGTGCACGCTGTAAAAATCGAGTCTTTATTTTAAAAAATGCTACGTTTGAAGATAAATATACTTCATTCATTTAAGCCAAGGACCAGCTCGATATGCAGATTTGTTGACACTCTGGAGTCAGTTGAATGTCTTATTATTATGCAATCATAAGGTATGGAATACTAATGTTTCGCTAAGGAAGACATCTGCATGAACGGTTATTATCAAGATGACAGAAATTAAGAGCAAATACTTTTACCATCACAGTGTCGTACTTGTTCAACTTTTTTGTTAAACTTTTAAATTGGACAATAAATATTTACTCAAATTAATTAAAATTAGTCAAAACTACATTTATATTCCATCAAGCGTCAAACGTCAAACCCGTCTCCTAGGGTTGAGTGCAGGGGATAGCACGAGAAATGGGCAAAGCCTTTCCCTTCACATGCTTTCCCCACAATGTCGGGTCAATACGCTGGTTTTGATTGCGCGCTAAAATAGCTATGTTCAGCTCAGAAAACATCAGCCAAAGGGATTTACGTGACCTATACCAAAGTTTGATCAAGTTCCCGCTATTCAACTATTCGACCATGGTTACAGTTGACTGGTTCATCCCCTCTCCCACCCTTTCATAAAAAATTCACATTGAAAAAAAAACCGTGTATTCGAGTGATACTATACACATATTATCTAGTCTGGATGTGAAACTTACGAAAACATTATTTAATTTACTGCAGATGATATACAAGTGTATCGGCAGACTCAGGCACTACTTCCTGATATATCCCGCAATCAAATTGCGTACTAGAGTAAACTATATTTATAACAATTTAGTATATCCCAATGCCCTTGTATATTTTAGTTCATTATTATGTGTCTTTGAGTCTTTTTTCTACCACCGAAATAAAATTCATTTGCAGAAAAAACTTCCTCTGAGCAGAGATCTCTAATACCGTTATATCCGGCGTCCATGCCCTTAGCAAGAACTTTCACATTTACAGAATATATCTATTTTCTAGTTACAGTTTATCTATTTTCTAGTTAACTTTATTTGATGAACTTCGCATTAGCTTCTTGTCTGATTTACTCCGTTATGAACCATGTGAACAAATTGTTTCTGCCGTCAATTATTGTGGAATTTTCACTCGTATAATACACATATTATCGCTCTAATCTAGAGAATTGTTGAAGCATATTAAAATATCTATCTACAAAAATAATTGCCAACTTGTGTTTCAATAAAAATTTGAATTTATTTTCAGTCATAAATGACTATGTTGCCGATATGTTATTGCACGCACACAATTATGTGAAACTGATATATTTGCCGCCTATACGCTTAGCATTGCACGTTAATCAAAATTGCTCTCAAAGCACGTTTTCCAATCAAAATTGCACACATATGTATATATAAATCAAAACTTCATATGAATTCGTATGCCAACTGTATACAAAGTTGGTCAAATTTACCAGGGTCTTTCAAATATTTGAAGGACCCTGAATTTATACCCGTTTGTTGTTGTTGTTTTATATACAAATAATATCATAATTGAAATTTTTATACTTCTTATTATGTCGATTAATGCAACCTGAACCTTGGTCTTATACTTGATATGGCGACTTAATAAAATAATCATAAATCTACCCTGATATTATTTTAAACTACATATGGGCACATCTTCACCTCCATACAGGATCTTAAATACAAATGTATAAATAATTTAATCAAATTTCAATACTAAAATTACGTACAATTTCAAATATAAAATAAAATACATTTCTAATAATATAACTTTTCTGAAAATATCAATGAAATGATCATGAAGCGTGTCAGTTGAACATGAACCCAATAAACGACACGGAAGACTGCTCTAGGTGTTACACGGTTTGTGCGTGTGTTCTGACTATCGTGGCCTGTCACAATTAACACGTGCACCTCGGGCATATTGGTTTGATTTAGACTTTAATTGATTTCTGCGACAATAAATCTGCTACGTTCATTCCCACGTATAACTGGACAATCCCTCCGTTTACCAATATTTTCCCTTCTCTATTGATAGCAAAAATCGATTTACAACTATGGAACGCAGAGTGACATCGTCAATGCGACGTCATCGGGGACTTACTGAATATTCATAGGGCACCTGCCAGCATCAACAAGCATCTAGAAGACGAAATGTGTTATCAAATTTATACGTATATTTTTAGAGGAACTTTTATTTTAAAGTGGTAGGGAGATGGCTTGTTTGTAAATAAATATGTGGAGCAAATATAACGCGATTCTTGCTGGAATTTTACTGTCAATATGTGTCGGAAAATGCCCATGTTTAGCTCTGCAAATTGATCGTCAATTTCCATTGGGTACAATTGGTAAGTCTTTGTCGCAGAAACGCTTGGATTCCATTTTTTCCACATATGGTAAATGTTGTATTAGTTCAACGTAAACGTTAATTTGTGAACATTAATTGAATTTAAAGTAAAGTTTTAAGGCTTTTTATCAACATGAATGGGTAAATTTGATAGGTCAAATGATAATTATGTTCCCAAATCTTCTAACATATGGAAGATCTAAATCGGGTAAACGCTTGCATTATTGTGATGCTGAAAGACTATTGTATAGTATAACTGTGTATATGTCCAAGCAGCTTTAATTTATAAATCTTTTCATAAGATGGTTGTTAAGTAAATGACAAGTAAACTTTGAAGTTGGATATCAGTAAACATGTTATTTCCAACAGTCTATAAAATAGAAAATAAATTTATAAAATATATAGAGATCTATCATCTATTATACATAATAATGCCCAATGAATCAATTAACCTATTAATATTACTGTAGCAGTGAAATGACAAACTAATTTGATTACCATTACATTTCATTCACAAGGTGCAATGAGAGCAACATACTATATAGATATTAGTCCTAATAAAGTATGATTTCACTTTGATATGTATTAATTTTTCCCAACTTAGACTTACAATCAACAAGCTGATATGTCTATTATTTTGGATATATACATTCTTAGAATTATTATATAAACTATAAATGTGCTTCGGTATTAAATGATTGTATTTTTCTTCTTTCTTTTCTTAAACTTAGAGATTAAATTTAATTAAGGCTCTTATTGACTGAGAAATATTATTTAGTTTAAACATACTTTATATAATTTAAGCTGTATTTCTATACAAGTTCATGCAAATTACATTAATCACTTTCAAGTCCAACTCCTGGAACCAACCAGTATACTAGTGTCATATGAAGAAATATTATATAAGTCATGACCCAAGAATTGCCCAAACCCATGATCTGGGGGATCATCCTCAGGTCGAGAGGCAGACACCTAAACCACTAGGCCACTGCTCCCATTCATATTATGTATATGTATGTAGAGAATAATGATATTTATGAACAGTTATGAACATTATCTTTAAGTTTAGATAAAATTCAATTCTGTAAGTAAAGTTAACATTGATCTTCACAAGTTGCCAAATATCCACTCCACTCCAGTCATAGGTTTCTTACCGGATCATTGAAGTTGTGGCAAAAATCAATGATAGGGTCATGAGCAATCAAATTTAGGAACTAGGGTCAGACAGACTAATTGTTAACGTCTTTTTTCACAGCTGGCCTGTAATAGATTGTCTACAGAGCTTGTATTCTGTCTATATATTAGCATAGGTATTGGCATGAGGATGTGGGGGGGGGGGGGTAGGGATTGGGACTGAAATTTCTATTGATAACTCTCCCCTCTCCCCCCTTTTGTCACAGCAACCTCAATACTTTATATCTCTCCTAAT